TTCATGGTTGCCTTTCCTCTGCCCATTTTTCGGTGATATTCAAGGGTAGTCCTGTCGTATTTTTTCGTGCATCTAGAGCCCTTCGTCAGGGGGATCCCCTCTCCCCTTTTTTATTTACTATATATACATCATGCTTCAGTTTGATGCTTAATGGAGTGGAAAGGGCTAGTCATTTCTCTAGGTTTTCCGTGGCAAATTCGGATTTGGTAATTTCACATCTTCAATGTGCAGATGACACTCTGATATTTTATGATGCGGATCCTTTACAGGTAGAGAGGGTCGCCACTTTTTTGGATATATGTGAGGTGACTATTGGCTTCAAAGTGAATTTTCATAATTCCTCTTTATTAGGGATTAATTGTAATGAAGCTGTGGTTGCATCGTTGGTGAATGTCTTGGGCTGTAAAGTGGGTACCTTCCCCCTTCTTTAATTGGGCTTACCTATTTTTGACTTTAGGTTCCCCATAACAATTTGGAACAAGGTGCTGGAGAGAGTTCAAGGTAGGCTAAATTTATGGAAACTCAAACACCTTTCTTTGGGGGTAGGGTGACTCTTTTAAGAGCTTATCTGGCTAATCTTACTGTCTATCAGATGTCTCTTTTTCAAATGCATGCAGCAGTGGTTAAAAAGATTGAGAAGTTGATGAGGGATTGCTTGTGGGGTTATAGCAGTGAGCATTGAAAGTTCCATTTGCTAAGATGAGATAGGGTTTGTACACCAAAAAATGACGGTGGTTTGGGCATAAGGAAAATCAAATTGGTAAATCAAGCACTGTTGTACAAATGGTGATGACGTAGTCTCCATCTCAAAGACCATATTGGGTATCAGGTACTCATTGTGAAATATGGCATTGGGTGTCTGGCTCGGGAAAGGGGAAGGTAGGAAAACCTCTAAGTTATGGAGTAACATTGCCAGTTGTAGACCAATTATTGCTGCTTACTGTAGATGGTCTATGGGGTGTCGGGATTCAATTTTGTTTTGACATCACACATGGGTTACAGATTTTCCTCTTAAGTCCCTATTCACATAGTTGTTTGAGATTGTCGTGATGCCAAATACTAAGGTTAGTGAAGTGGTTGAGAGAAGAGGAGACATATTGTCTTGGAATGTTCCTCTTGCTTATAACATGCTCAACAATACTCAGCTTGCGCAATGGTGTGCATTAATGGAACTGCTTGATGAGGTCTATGTTGCTCCAAATGCAATAGATGAGATGGTTTGGGTGTTGGAGTGTGATGGTATTTTCACTGTTAAATCTCGCTACAATCCCCTTTTTAATGATCGATGGCGATGGACTTATCCTCAGATAGCCAAAGTTTAGAAATGACCCATACCTCATAAGGTTTAGGTCTTTATCTGGTTGGCCGCTATGAATAAAATCTTAACCATCGACAATCTGTCCAAAAGAGGTAAGATTATTTCTAATGTTTGCTTATTGTGCAAGGTTGATGGTGAATAGGTTGCACACCTTTCGGTTCATTGCCCTTTTACAAGTCAGATTTGGTACTAGCTTTTTGGTTTGGTCAACATAAGCTTGACTCTTCCTCCTGTGGTGGACGGGATTGTCTCTCAACTATCTTTGTCTCATCTGCCTAAGGTTGGTAAAACCTTGTGGAATGTAGCCAAATGAGTTATTCTTTGGGAAGCTTGGAGAGAAATAAACATAATAACTTTGGAAGGTGTATCCCTTACATTTGACTGTTTGATTTATGCCATTGGACTGTTTATTTGGTCGTGGTTTTCTGTTTCTAAGGAAGGGTGGGGAGTGTTTGAGATTGATGTGTTCTCAAATCTTAGCAACCTTGTTCTGCTTGGGGTCAATAGTAATCGTCATAAATCTTATTGGCTGGCCCCTTTGGAGGGTACATTGAAGTTTAATTTTGATGGTAGTTCTTTTGGTAATCCTGGAATTGCTAGCATAGGTGGTGTATTAAGAGATGGTGGTGGCAATGCTATCCTCTCTTATGCCGGTCCTATTGGGTGTGCTACTGCAATCAGGGCTGAACTAAGTACGCTATACCACGGCTTGAAGATCTTTAAGGAGAGAAACTGTGGGGACACTGTCTGGATTGAAGGAGATTCTTTGAATGTAGTCAAGTGGTGCAATAAGAAGCAACATGTTCCATGAGATCTCCGTTCTCTTTGGTTACGAGTTATGGACTTATCTTTCTCCCTCACAATTACTTTCACCCATGTTTATCGTGAAGCTAATTCTTTGCTGATAAATTGGTGAAGGGGGGTTCTCAACTTTCTTCTTTGGTCATTTCTGACTTTGTAATTGAATTTTTTTAGATTCTAATAAAAGTAGCAATATTTGTCAAAAAAAAAAACATGCAGGGGAAAGAAATTGAATGAAAAGCAAATACATAACCCTTTTATCAATTTATCTTGGTAATCACGTGATAATGGACATAGAAGGGTTAAGAGTCTACTTGATAGCACCCTAAAATCCTAATATTTCAAGATAGCGCGGTATCTATTATGATTCTAATGTTATGAGTACATTTGCCCTGCTTGATAGGGCAAAATCATTTATTGTAATTTTCAAATAACTCACTGATATATAAATCCTCAACAATTAAACTTGAAGTTGAATTTTGCAAGATTTGATTTCCCGTGTCAAAATTTTACGTCTCTCACTCACTCATCCTCTCATCTCCCTCCTTTGTCTATCAATGGAAACTCTATCACTTTCGTGTTATCCGCAAACTCTAGAGAGAGAAGGTGGGTTTTTACTTGGCAGTCTAGAGAGAAAAGGTGGGTTTGTTTTTGGATTAGAGTTGGGTTTTATGCCATGTTGCTTACATATATAGAAGGTGGAGCTAGAGCTAGAACTAGAGCAAACGAGAGAAGAAGGGATTTGCTTTAGAGTTGGAACTAGTGTTAAAAAAGAAAAGAAGGATAAGTTTTTATTGGGGTAAAAATTAGTTGTTATAGAGAGGGTGGTGGTGTTTCCTCTAGAGTGAAATTGAATAGCTTGATCTCCATAGAGAGAGGTTGACTTTATTGCTAATTGAGAGGTGGTGCCATTCTTACTCTGCCAAACGCGAAACTTCTATAAAACTGAAATTTTTACTTTTCAAAGACATCTTTCAAGCAATCAAACACGCCCATAGAGAGAGAACTTTTTGAGGGACAACACTCACTTTCCTCCCACGTTTGTTTTGTGGTACAAGAAAGAATGGTGGTGTCTCTTATTAAGAGCAAGGGCACAATATTTTATCAGAGACAAAGACACGGTGTGTCCGTTTTTCTTGAGTGATGAATTCTTATACATGGTTAGTAGGAAAATAAGTAAGGTAGAGAGAGAAGGGTTAACTCGATCTATGTATCTCCTTGAACACCTCCATATCATTCCCTATTTCTCGAAAATACACGTAGATAGATACATAGGGCACAAAAAAATAATATTAAGGATGATATAACATCTAGATAAGAGAAAGCAGACATGTCTTTATTCAAATCTTTAAATATTCAAATCCTGTTTTGTCAAGCATACCCTAAAATAACATAGTTGCAAAGACTCCAATTTATGAATTTATTGTTCTCCTTCTTCTTCTTTTTTTACCATTAACAGTAAATTCATTAATAAAAAGGAGCCAAGCTCTATAAATACAATAATACAAAAAAAATAATAGAGAAATACAAAGTGTACTTCCTACTTCCATAGGTGATCATCTGAAACATAAGACACCCTGAATTTGTTATTCTTCCTGGGGGTATAATGTAATTGATTCAAGTGTAGGATTTGTTTTGTCATTTTACTACTGTAAACATGTATTTATCGAGATTTGAGATATTCATCACAATGTAACCTTTCTATGTGGCACCGCACACATATAAAAAAATATATGAATGATATTTTTCAGCTGTTGGATTTGAAAAAAATAAAAAATAAAAAGAAAACAACACTAGGCCAAATGTGAAAACAAAGTTGGTGCATTGGGGGATAGAAATGCAGAGATGCGTGCCCCGATTCATAATGTACTTTTATTTTGTTATTGTCATATTAATAAATTATTATTGTATATTTTTTTTTAGTAATTTACTTACAAATCCATTGAATTACTCTCGTAAGAAATTATTTTAAAATTTTAAATATTACATTCATACTATTTTTTTGTACTAATTGTTTTTATCCAAAGCCCCCTAACTTTGGATCTTGAAAGACTAAAGTCTCTATAAGTCCTCTCCTTGCTAGTTGCCAATAAAATTTCGGACTTTTACAATCAAAAGTTTAGAAGACTTCGAATTTTCCAAATTCAAAGTATTTTTAAGCCCTTATAATCACCTAAGAAAAGGTCTATAGCTTTTATTACAAATGCTAGATCTCAAACATTCAATATTCGAAATAGGTAAAACAATTGGACATAAATATTAGGGAAATTTTTTTATAAAGTTGCAACCTTAAATGTAGAATTATGCACGCACATCAAAAGTCCATCGTAAAAGGTTGTTTTGATAGTGAAAAACCCTATAATTGGTCGACTCGACATCGAGATGTATGAGTATGAAAAAAAAAAATAAGAATTTGAATATTAAAAATACTGCATATTGCAACACATTATCTAGATTGTCCATTTTCATGATTTTCATATGTTTATAAATCTATTTTATTTTAACTATTTATGGAGTTCAAAATTTTATAATTAGATATAAAAATAGATTTTTAGATAATCTTAAGAAATTTTATGCTAAAATTACATGATAAAATTTGTAGGTGCGCTTCAATTGGATTGTTTAAGATTGGCACACCCTAAATATAATAAAATACAAATTTTGGGAGGATGTGTGCTTAAATTATTTAACAAATTCGCAGATGCGCCTAGCACCTTTGATTAACACATTTGCAAATTCTAGGGAAATAAAATTGAAAAAGTATTACCTACTCTCAACCATCAGATTAAATATCGGACGGATAAAACATGGCACTGCTCGAGAAGTTTATCTTCATGAAATACACTACCTAAAGTTCAGCATAGTACTTTAACTTCACGCGATTATTGGTTAGGAAGAATGGACGGCTGATACATATGAATCCTTCAGAACCCGAATTTTCTATATCATTCACAGGACTTGTCTTGAAGAAGGGGACTTGAACCCTAATTTAAATGGAAAGCGCTTCATTTTCCAGAGAATATTGTTCTTCACGAGCACGGTCCTCCACTTTTATCTTTCTCTGAAATTTTTTTGAGCAGTCAGAGTAAATTTTCTTACATTTCTTCAATGGATCTTAACCTAACTGCTCCCCATTCAATGGGAACCACCATTATTGGAGTGACATACAAGGATGGTGTGGTTCTTGGTGCTGATTCCAGGACCAGCACAGGTAAGATGGTTAGGATTCTAAGGGTTTATTTGTTGGTGTTTTTCCTATTAAAATTGATGTTGTTCATTGATTTTGATTCCGTGGTTGTGATTCTCTTTTATTTCTTTCTGTTTTATTTTTTTTTGGGCTTTTTTTTGGGAATAATCTGGTTCAGTGAATGTTGCGTACAGTTCACTAGGTTAGAACTTAGAAGTAATCCGAGTATTTGTTTTTGTGTTGTTTGGCATCAGGGATGTATGTTGCTAATCGAGCTTCAGATAAAATCACACAGCTCACTGATAATGTCTATCTTTGTCGTTCTGGATCGGTAATACTAAATCTCTATCTTTCTGTGTTATTTTTTTACTGTTTTGTTGTTTGCCTGATGTGAGATCGACAATAGAGTTGTTGGCAGATAAGAATTACATGGCTTTAAGTTCAATTCCCTGGGCATAAATTTTCAATTAAAAGAGAACTCTAGGGTCTAAGGAATTTGTATATACTAAAACTTAGTTTTGCCGTGATAAATTGGGTTCTCATAATTTTCCAGTACACCATTTGAGTATTAAGGAGTTCATATCCACCTAAATCTGGGAAAAATACGGCGGAATATATGTTTAAAACAGTGAATGTCTATGTTTTTGGGATCGATTAATTGATTTTCTTATTAAGTCAATTATGAAGTCATTCTTCTCAAGATCAAGTTCTGGATTGGGAGTTTTAAGTAGGCAAAAGAAAGAGTTATTGGGTAGTCATGTCAAAGAGTACAAATTTTGCACATTGCAAAATAGAATAATTATCCATTTTCTAATTATATTATTATTGTTTTGGTGGTATCATATATTTAGGAGAGGGTTTTTAATGGGGAATTCCTCAACCTCAACAATAAAAACAGGTCTTTCTGGACCTACCATCAAGTAATTGGATTCAAAGTTAGGGTCACTATAAGGTGTAAATACATATTTCACCACTCTTAGCCATTAAAGGTTCTCAACTGATCTGATTATGTTTGTATTCTGAGATTCACCATGTCCCAGTAATTATATTCTGAAATTTTGGTTTGTATGCTAAGACTGACCATTCCAAAGTGATTAACGGAATCCATATCTGATGTATTTCTTTGGCATCAATTATTTTGGATTTGATTATTTGGTTTTTATGCTAGGATTGGCCATGCCAAAGTGATTAAATGAAGAATGCATATCCGCTGTATTTCTTTGGCATCAATTTATTTGGATTTGATTATACAAGCTGCTCAGCAGTTTACTACCTCATTGAATGTTCTCTAGTACAGATTTCTCTCTTTTCTCTGTTCATCTCTCGTTATCTCACCTTGTGTGCGTCTTTATGTGTTTCTACTTTATAGTACAACTTGATGCATACTTTGCTCTCTTTAACAAATGTCGGTAAACACATGTAGTCATTTGAGCTTATATTCCTTGGTTTGAGTGAATCAGCCATGAGGTTAAGTACATACATCCTGTTATGTTAGTCACTATTTGCAGTTTGTTAGACATCGGTTAATTGTTTTTGTTTATACTTTATCACTCGTACTTATATCTTGCTACAAGAATGTTACACTATTGCCGAAAAAGGAACTGGGTGCAAGAATATAATGCTGCTGCTGGTTGGCGATGCCCTCATTTGCCCACTGTTTTTTATTTGTATGCATTATTATCTTCCTTTGATGGACTTGCAGGCTGCTGATTCTCAAGTGGTCTCCGACTACGTACGCTACTATCTTCATCAGCACACGTGAGTTCATTTATCACATCTCATTGGTTCTTACATGTTATCTTAAGCAATGGTAGGTTCTGTTTTTTTTTTTTGCTCATGGGACTACTCATCATTATCATCAAAGTATTATTCCAACTATTTGGTGTTGGCTACACGAATCCTGTTCTGCAATTTTGCTCTATCTTACCTTCAGTAATACCATACGTACTCTTATTTTTTCTCACTACTTCCATTTATATATTTTTGGATCTTCCCTTTGCCCTTTTTTAGAGCATTTTGCTTAAACCAAATTGCACTTCCTAACTGGTGGTGTATTGGGTCTACACTGCACATGGCTAGCCCACCTAAGTTTACTTTCCCTTATCTTGTCGCCTGTTAGCTCATTGGACTACTATGAAGGATAATAAGTTTGTCCTACATTGTTCATGGCATGCTTTGTATTTAGTGGTTCTGGAGACTTACTTTTTTTAGTGATTATTTGTTTGGGAATTTTGATAACTCATACATTGTTTGATAAGCTATGGATTGAGAGTAAAAGAATTGTTATGAGATTGTGAGTTATATTGAGATTTTCTGAACAATTGTATAACACAACTGCTTCTATGAGTTTTGATAGAGAAGGGTTTTTATATTATGCTTTTAGTATTGTATCAAGCTTTGGGATGTTATGATGGGTCCATGAAAAAATTGTGGAATTTATCAGTGCAGTGTTTTACTATAAGAAAACACACATTGCAGAATTATAAGGGCCTTTTTAGAATCAATGCATAGATAATTCTTATATCAAAATTCGATTAATAGTTTGATTCAGGCAGATTATTCTTTACACACATTGCATAATTGCGGGCCAAAAACACACTTACTTGAGGCCCTAAGCGAGTAGACTTGGCATGTCTTGAGTGAACTTGCTGATTTTATTCGAGTTGATGAGTTGCCGATAAAAAGTTTCTGAAATTGATAAATTTCTTAAAAAATCCAAAAAATACAAAAAATGAAAAAAATTGAAAATGAAATTCCAAAGAACCTAATTGGCATCATAAACATAACTAAAATTGCAAAAATGTAAAAAGTATCTCTACATTCATGTAAAAGGTATCTATATAAGTGAAAATGAAAACAGGAAATCTTACTGATTTTTATGACCAGAATGCGACAAAAGTATTATGTTAGCTAAATTTAGCTAGATGTAGTGACATTAGTCCCCAAAAAAGGATATATACGAATTTCAATTGAAAAAATGAAACCTAATTTTTCTTACACAAAATTTCGTGGCCAATCTTCCAATATTTGCACTTGGCGCGAATCGATGGTTCCAATCTTTGTGAAAGGGTCCTCTAGTTTTGGGATTGGAGTTCGTTATGAGTTGTTTTGCCTAAATGTCTATTAAACAAATATTTTGAAGAGATGGGACTCCAAATGCTAAACCAGAGAAAGCACACAAATCAGGGAACGCACTTACTTAAGACTGTAAAACGATCAAGAGCTTTTCATTAAGTGTGATTTCGGGGATGAGTTCACAAGCAACTTGTTTCTTTTGCATTAAATCTTTATACAAAGACAAGATCACCTTTGGTCCATGATTACAAAGATATTACAGGAATTCAAAAGAGGCAAATAGGTTACAGACCTAGGCACTTGACTTTTATGTACTCCATACACCTTGCTGATGATTGAAGGATGTCAGGCTATCACTTTCTCCCTCTAACTCCTCTAGACCTTGCTTGAAGTTCTTAGTTTGGTCTCTTTCAACCTCTCAAATGTATGGCAGCCTCTGTATATCAGAAGCTTTCTCACAACTCCAGCAAGGAATTCCCATGGTTAGATCTCAAAAGTCGTGTTAAAACTCTGTTTCTTGTTCCCCACAGAAACTCCGTCACAGTTGCAAGTTACTCTCATGTAGAAGATGAGACCTAGCATGCAAGAATAATTTCAATCTCATGGGGCCAAACATTCTCCAAATGTTGTGTTTCTGGGGTATCTTCCATCTAGAAAACACTAGGAAATTATCTCCAATAGATTGCTTGCCTTATATGAACACGTGGATTGCTTCCCTTGCGGTAAGTCTTCAAAGCTTCAATGCCTAATTATTTTCTATTCAGAACTGCTTGATACTTATTCTATTTCTTCATTTAGACCTGAGCAAGCATCTCTAGAAGAAGAAGATCGTACCATCATTCATAACCATTTGATCACACTTCAATAGTTCACCACAGGGGACCTCTATCATTCTATCCGTGGCTTGCAGTGAACTTTACCACTTAAAGCTCTATCAAATCTTCTAATTTTTGGACAAGAGCTTATAAAAGATTTCCACAATCATTTCTCCTAATTTGGTCACATTTGAACATCATCTGCCCCAACTTGGACAGTTCAGCATGAGAGTCCATGCTCCATACCTATGGCTCGTGGTGAACTTTACTTTACCACTATAGAGTTACCCAATCTTCATAACTTTTCATGGCTTTCTTGAAAACAACATTCTTTTGATTTCCCACCTAGCTTGGATGCATTTGGACGCTATTTGTTCAAACTGGAAAGTTCACTGCCTGAGCTTATGTATGGCTTTCATGGCTCGTGGTGAACCTTCACTGGATTGTGTTGTCCCTCTCCAAACTGCATGATTTTTGGCAGAAGGTTTGGAAATACCCTCATGAAGCATTCCTCCAAGTTTGGGCTTGTTCGGATATCATTTGGTCACATTTGTTGTAGTTCACCATGAGGGTACTATTCATGGTACTGTAGCTTGTGGTGAACTTGACAACTCCCTTGCACTTGATTCCAATTCTCCTGATCTTTTGGGGCACATGCATATTTCATGTTTTCAAGGGTATTATCGAATTTCGGACACATTTGGAGATCACTATGTCAACTCTTTGGGCTAAGGAACATATGGGCATTTCATGACTCGTTGTTTTGTCACAAAACACTAGTTGAAATTTTCAATCAAATAGTCTCTTGACGTTTAAAATCTCAGATTTGTTACATTGTTATTATTTATTATTATTAATATTATGGTTATTTCTATTATTTTGTGTGCGTGCGTGCGTGTGTGGGTGGGGGGAACATACCTATGTTTTAATAAAGAACTAAAAGATAAGTAGCAAATTTCAATTAACAATTGAGCTGGGGTTGCGAGCAGATTGCAAGTTTTCAAACTTCAGCCAAAACCAATTTTAAGAATCACAATCTCACAAATTCAACCAAATCGTTGTTTTTCTCTTGAATCTAATCTTTCTACTAGACAGAGGACGCAAAAATGACCCTAAACCTTAATTTTCTCAACTGGGAGATGCTGGGTTGAGGAGAAATTGAGGAGAAGTGGGGTCTGATTTCTCCCCTTTCCTCTATATATGCAAAATGTAGCGATCTTTAGTAATCACCGAGTCTGTCAGAAACTTGCTGACTCTTTAATAATTATCCCAACTTATCTTAGTAATAACTTGGGCAAGTATGGTTGCAATATCTCGGCCTTATCTTTAATAACTTGGGCAAGTATGGTTGCAATATCTCGGCCTTACCTTTAATAACTCGGGCAAGTATGGTTGCAATTTCTCGGCCTTATCTTTAATAACGTGGGCAAGTATGGTTGCAATATCTCAGGCTTATGGTTGCAATAACTCGGGCAATATCTTGGGCTTATGGTTGCAATCGCCGAGTTATGGTTGCAATAACTCGGGCAAGTATGGTTGCAATAACTCGGGCAAGTATGGTTGCAATATCTCGGGGGCAAGTATGGTTGCAATATCTTGGGCAAGTATGGTTGCAATATCTTTAATATCTCGGAATTATCTTTAATAACTCGGGCAAGTATGGTTGGGATAATTGCAAGTATGGTTGCAATTATCCCAACTTTTTAATAACTCGGGCAAGTATGGTTGTAATATCTCCCCCTTACCTTAGTAGGAGGGGTTCCGGACTAACAGGCGGCCCAATTCGAGTGACTTGTCAGTTTAATGTGGGCGAGTATGAAAACAGTACCCCCTACCTGAGACAGGGGTTTCCGTCTCGTCAAGCTGTCAAGCTCAAGTGATTCAGGTGAGTACAAGTTGGAGTTGCAGAGTTTTTTTTTTTTCTCTCCAATCCTAGATTGATCCCATCATCCTTCTCGAAGGGATTGCAACAGTTGGAGAAGCCTAATGATCACAATTTTACTGTAACTTTTTTAATCTGAATGTTTCGTGTTAAGAGTTCATTTTTGTTCATGAATCCAACACTTAGTTACTTGAAAACGAACTTAGTGTCATATCCTATTTACATGCCTAACCCACCATTTTGCCTGCTACAGGTGTCCTTTTTTTTTTTTTTGAGAAATAGGTGTCCTTTTTGTTAAATTCCCAGTTTATTGAAACCTGGTCTGTTCCTTCAGTTTTATTTGTATTGCAGTTCGTTTACTTTGTTTCATATGGCCATTCATCTCTTGGCCATTTGTGCCCAAGAGATTAATTTGATGTCCTGTTGATCGTTACTTGAGATCAAATGCTTCACATATTCCCATTTTATATGTCTCTTGGACTGATTATAAATTACATTGAGAAAATTAAGTGTTTTACTGAGTTATGCTTCTGTTTCCAACTTTGAACGTGGCCTAGGTGTAGTCTGCACTGTTTTTGATGGTTGATCTGCATCTTTTGATTAACTAAGAAACTTGCTTGTGAAACTCCCAAGATTCTTACGCACTTTTATCCCTGTGTTCCATGTCATTATGTGTTGTATTATGTGGTTTGATGTTTGATAATAAAACATTAATTTCTTTCTGTGATGGTTGTTAAAAAGAAATTGTGACATTTGTTCTATAAACTAGTGGGGGGTTCAAACTTGGATTGATTGGTCCAGATGTCAATTGATTTTACATTGTTTCTGTTGCAGAATACAACTTGGGCAGCCTGCAACGGTCAAGGTGACTGCTAACTTGATAAGGTTGTTGTCATATCAAAACAAGGTAAGACGAACTTCATTTAACATTGTACCATGGTTCATCTGTTTGTGCTGGATGGTCAAGCTAAAATGTTAGCCCAAAGGCTAATATTGTCCTGCCATATACTGCAGTTTTTTTTTTTTCCTTTTGATCGTTACATTCAGCTTTCAAAGTCAATCCACTTACTTTTTTCTGCATGGAATGTCATCTAAATTCTATTTAAAGACCTGCAAATTTATGAATTCCCATTCCTAGTTGCAGAAACTTGCTTATCCAGTTTATTAGATAGTAATTTGCTCTTTATTTGTCAATCTGGATAATTGTGCTTCATATTTGCAGTTGTTGCTATCTTGATCTGAGCGTGATATTCAAAGAACACTGCACCTGCCACCACAATCATCTTACATTCTTTAGTTGTTGTTTATGTGTTGCATTTGGGTTCCTTTATTTCACTCAGGCCGCTCTGTCACAGTCCATTGATATACCCTTTCTTTCCTTTGTTGGGTCTTATGAAGTAGGTTTTTCAACAATGTGTGTATTGCACTGTTAAATGAATGTGAAACAGAAATTGCAGGCTGTTATATTTGCATCTTTAGCTTTGCCTCATACTTTTGGTTCATAGAAACTGGATCAGTTCTGACTTGTACTGTTATACTTAAGGGCTCTGCATTGTTCATGAACTAGGTCCTCCTATTTTATTTTTCTCATTCATATTTAAGATGCTTCAGAAACCTGTGAGTTGACTTAACACTGTGGTTGGATTTTCCTATCACCAGAACATGCTGGAGACTGGCCTGATTGTTGGTGGATGGGACCAGTATGGGGGAGGTCAAATATACTCAGTTCCTTTGGGAGGTACTATTGTAGAACAGCCATTTGCTATTGGAGGTATGTTAGGGCCTTTCTTACCTATCTTTGTCCCTTTCATATTAAATGTAATCCATATCCCATTGATATTGAAAATATGTTCTATATGTTTCATGTTTGGATTCGTAGTCTGTCCTCTGTCTCTCTCTCTCTCTCTCTCTCACACACACACACACACACACACACACACACACACACACACACACACATTAACATAATTGTTTGTTATTCTGCCTCACAATGCGATGCACTTTGTGCATATGCATTTCGTTCTTACATTTAGCATATTTAGTTGGGTTCCTGTTAGAAGAGTTTTTGGTGTGTTAGTCTTAGGAAGCTTATATTATGATTTAGATAAGTGCGCTATGGTGTTATATATGGAGCTCTTCGCACGGGGGTCAGGGTAGGTGGAGCTACAAGGTGATGTCAAGAGTTCCTGTCCCAAATTAGCACTCAGAAAAAAAAGTGCTCTATTTTATAAGTATTTGGTAAAAAAAGTTTTCAAAGTGGGTGCTGAACTAAATGTTGTCTGGAGAGTCTCATATCTTTTATTCTTTCTTATTTTTGCCTTTGCTGGGAGTTTGTTCATATTGCAATTTAATTTCACGGGTAAGAGAACAGTACATATATATTGGAGTTAAAGTGAAGGGTGGGCGTCCTACATTTAAGTTGGAAGGTTCACGTCGAACCTTTGAAATGGTTCAAAGGTCTCTCTGTACATGAGAGCTAAAATGCTGCAAAGGAATCCCACAAATTTTTTAGTTCGTAATATTCTGAGCTGATCTATCAGCTGCCACAAATTTTTTAGTTGGTAATATTCTGAGTTGATGTATCCGCTGCCTATCTACGCATGCATGTGAATGAGATTTTTAGCACTGTCTAATATCCTTTGTAGTACTTCAGCAATCCTCTGTAGTCCAGGGGTTGATTGACGAGCGTATTTGGTCATTTTAAGAGAATCCCCTCTACTATCATATGTCCAAGGGAAGAGGCTACGAATGTGTTGACCTGTAACACCTCAATTTGTGCCTTGTAATTTGCTAGTCCAATATGACACTCTTCAAAATTCAAATCTAGATCTTATAAGCCCTTCAACTTTGATAGCATATGCGTCACGTTTTATCTTTGATCATGCCAATACTACTGAAGACGGACAGTCCAATCGTGTATTCGACCTCCACCAGGATTTTGTAGTTGCCTTTCCCAGCTATAGGGAATTTCGATGGGACAAGTGTCCTGTACTTGAATGAGGGGAAGATTCGCGCACTCCTTGCCACTCTAAAGACTGTTTCCCAACTTGGAAATATATTATTATGGAAGGTGACTCCTTTAGCATTATCTCATGGGTGAAGAAAGAAGCTATGTGCCCATGGAGGCTTGCACTTTTTTTTTATGAAATTTTCAAGCTCTGTGATAATGGTTCAGGGAGTTTTGTGGACTCATGGAAGGCTGGAGCACTATAGAACATTCAATAGCTAGAAAAGGGTACACACAGTATGATTCTAATTGTTCCAATCGCAGATAGACCAGAGATTGACCATCCCTTATTTTGAGACATTTGTATATCAATTTTGAAGGGCAATATTTTTTGATAACCAATAAATCTAGTCTTTAATGAAAAACAGTTGACGATTAACAAAAGATAAAAGGACATCTTGGAAGATGAATTTCAGCTTTGAGAATAGGCAATTTGACCCTATTGTCCAGCGCCTTTGCCTTTTCCCAGAGGCATCCTATCAATGAATAAAATGTGTTCGGTGCTTCATCAAATTTGTAACAGTCTTCAAACAAATATAATAAAAATCCTTTTAGATTTTTAAAAGGACATTCATCATCATCATCATTTTAACCTTTTCCAAATTAATTGGGGTCGGCTACATGAATCCTGGTTCTCCATTCAGCTCTATTAAAGGCCATATGTCCCTTATATCTTTTCGGACTACTTCCAACCACGTCCCTTTGGGCCTACGTCTTGCCCTTTTCAGTCCTTCCACTTGAACTATCTCGTACCTCATAACATGTGTTGTACTTGGTCATTGCCACACATGGCTAGCCCACTTAAGTCTACTCTCTCTCATTTTATCGCCTCTTGGTGCCACGCCTAAATTCTCTCGAATTGATTCATTTCGAATTCTATCCGTTCTTGTCTTGCCACTCATCCATCTCAGCATCCTCATCTCTGCTACACTTAGTCTATGAGTATATTGTTTTTTGTCCGCCCAACATTCCACCCCATGGAGCAAAGCGGGTCTCACCGTTGTCCTCTAAAGCTTGCCCTTCCACTCAGAGTATGCGGCGATCACATAAAATTCCAGTTGCACATCTCCACTTTGCCCACCCAGCTCTTCTGTGTGCGACATCTTCCTCAATCTCTCCATTTTTTGGGATTATTGACCCAAGATATCGAAAGTGCAGTCTTTCTTGTACTTCTTGGTCGTCAATCTCAACTACTACTTCGTCTCTACTCCTATTATTACTAAACTTGCACTCCATATATTTTGTCCTAGTCTGACTAATTTTAAAATGTTTGGATTCTAGAGCGTCCCTTCAAAGTTCTAACTTTGTGTTGACGTTGTTTCGGGTCTCGTCAAAAAAAAAATGTAATCTACAAACAACATGCACCACGGAACCTCATCCTGTAGGTGCCAAGTTAAGCCGTCCATAACTAAAACAAAGAGGTACTGGCTAAATGCTGACCCTTGATGTAGACCTATTGTCACTGAAAACTCGCTCATCTCTCCATTAGTTGTTCGTACACTAGTTAGCGCTCTATCGTACACATCTCTCACCAAGTCTATGTAGTGTTTAGAGACGCCTTTTTTTTCCAGCACCCGCCAAATCAAATCTCAATGTACTCTATCATAAACTTTATCTAGATCAATAAAGACCATGTGCAGGTTTAAAAGGACATTGGATTAATTATTTTTTGTTCTACCAAGACCTCTAAAATTTCATTCAAAGATTCCTTTTTTTCTCCTTATGAAATGCTAGTGTATTATATTGCATTTTATTAAGAAACAATTGTTCATTAACGATTATTTGACAAAAAGAAAGAAAAAATCAAAATACATTGAGATTCTGATGAAGATTTTGTGCCCAATCTGTAGTTAATTGACTTTCCGATGCACAAGTTTGACTCTAATATGGCAAGGGAAATCGTTCTTCTAACTTCTTTTGATGTTTCTGTGCATCAAATCTAAGAAGTTTGGAGTCAGTTTGCTTCTCCATCAGAAAGACATTTTAAAAAAATGGGAAATAGGAAATCGAAAGTTCAAGTTTGGTCCTGGTTTTCGAGCCTTGGATTTGACTTTAAAGAGCAATGGGAGGTTAATGCCGCCTAGGCGCCGCCTCGGCCCGCTATGTCTTCATTCCATCCTATCGGCCCAAGCTAAGGGACCCTGGCAACTGGTTCAAACCAATGTTATTACTGGATCAGACTAGCTGATCTGAGTGTTGCACCAAGAAACAGGCATGGAACCTGTCCAATCCGACCACTGAATTGACAATGATAAAAAATGATTTGAACCTGCCAGTTCAAACTGGTTGAATCTAGTGCCCTCACTGGTTTGATGACCACTTCGGTCCTTTTGCCATTGGTTCAAACTTCTCATTGTGGGTCTTAGAAATTCCTTTCTATACTTCTATAGACATCCTCATCTATGATTGTCTATGTTTCATCATTTTCTTCTCCTCTCTCTATCCGGCCTGTACCATTCTTCAATTCTTTTGAATGGAGGCCTGGCGATACTGGAGTGTTGGACTTCTCCCCTTTGGTGTAGAATCTCTTCATGACTGAAGTCTGAAGCCTTCACTATTACAGTCCTTGGGAACTCAATAGTGAAACTAAGAACCCCAAGTACCGAGATCTCATCTACCAAGATTATGTACATAGTCGGCTACATGCGAAATTGGCAAACACATCAAAAAACCAGGTGCGAGAAATGGGAAAACAAAAGCACACCATAATAATCCTGTTTATGGGGTTCACCCCAATGTGGCCACGGCCTTAGCAACTTAAAATCCACTTTCAATAATGATTACCATTTACATACCTCTCTATCAAAACGTGGACCTCGTGGATATAACTTTCTAAAGAATCTGAACACAACCTCTCCATCAAACAATGGCATGGTCAATTTCCCTTGTTCGTCTACTATACTGCTGCCATAAAGATAACCTTGAGAGTGACTGAATGACTCTCTAGAAGTGGAAAGTGAACCAACCCAAAACTCCATGCCAAACCACCTCTCTGTAGGAGGCCATACCTCTCTCTCTTTTGGAGATATATTGCATCTCTTTCTTGAAGATCACCTTTTCCATGACCCTAAAGGGTGACCCACAGGCGTGGCGCATAAAAGAACATGTATCATGTGTTTGTTGGTTAATATATATATAAATCATTAGGTTTCCTTGCTTGTTCCCTTGAAAACCCCCTTTCCTGTTACCTATTGACCATAATGCCCTCAAAGTTTTCAGGCAAACTTCGCATTGACATTATTGACTTTTACCAAACCTGACATTCATCACCTTTCTCTTCTCCAATGGACCCTTTGCCCTCATTTCATCTTGTAATGACCTTGCAAATTTTTTTCATTCACGATACTAATAAAAAAGAAATAATTATTGATTAAAAGCATTAATTCCGTGGCTTATAAGAGTTGTTCATGTAGATTGTGAGGTGACTACTTAGTGGATAAGTTGCTCTTATATCGTGCTTTTGGCATAACTTGGTTGGTTGATGCTTCATAGGTGCTTTTAAGTAATATTCTTAGGATGGCTTTCCCATCTTCTCTTAAGAACTTGTCTTTGCAGGGTGGATCAGAGATCTCAGTATCTTCCTGTTATATTCTTAGCATGGATTTTGGGGAGTATGAATTAGGCCGATATTATCCATAATATACTAAATTTATATTCTGTCATTTGTAGGATCTGGCTCCAGTTATTTGTATGGATTCTTTGATCAGGCGTGGAAGAAAGATTTGACTGAGGAAGCAGCTGAGGTATGCCTGTATGACCATTTGAATTCTGCCTTGTGGCTCTGTCCAAAGTTACATCCATTTTCATCCGGTGTTTCGCTCTATCGTGTCACGTTCTTATGCTGCTTTAAAGACACCATTATTACATGGGATTCTTCTTAATATTCAGTTTTTTAAATCCTTGTGCAATGTTATGCTAAAAAAGATTGAGAAAGTGAATTCACCTCCTTTGTTTCTACTCAATGCCCATTCTCCTAAGTCCAGGAAATCCCAATTCCTAGGTTTCTCCATACCCACCTTCAAAATAAGCCCAAATTCTACTTGCCCTGTATCTTGACTCGACAACTAATGTGCTATCCAAATACATCTAAATTTGTCTTATGCACCCTGGTATGGGAAGATATGAAGTGTCGAACGACAACATTTTCCCCTTAGATTCTATATAAACTGCTTAAAAATAGTTATTGGCCTCAAAAAAAAAAAAAAAGTTATTGGCGTCAAACCCCTATTGCCCTTTGTCCCTTCAAGAAGTTTTGCATTGTCCTATTTTTTCATAGCCATTGGCATGTCCTCCTTCACCAGCAGCGTTCTTGTAGTTGTGCCAATTCACAGAATCTGAGTGGCTGGTTTTGACTGAGAAGATTGTGAACCACCCCCCCCCCCCGCTCTCTCTCTCTCTCATTTGAACTATATCCTCTCCTCATTCCTGGACTTTGATTTTCCAGACCACAGAAATGATTTTGAAGGCCTGATTTGCCAGATCTTAGTAGTATTCCATTTGAAAAGCACAATGGAGAAATACGTTATGAGCAATTTTTGTTTACTTCTCAGTGACTGGAAAATCATTTTAATAACTTTGAAAGGTTTGAAAATGGCCAAAATGCCCTGAAGTTACTTCTACCATTAAGAAAATAGACTATAGCTAAACTGGTTTTGTGTAAATTGCTCCTTAACGAGGTATTCTTTGTTATCCCATCTTTATCATTTTGAAGGACAAAAGAATACCCTTGGAAGATTTTAACTAGAGAGTGATTATACACATCTATTATTAGTTTCAATTATAACTGGTTCTACTTGTTAAAAAAGCATGACTTTAAGTAGAGGGAGTTCCTGTGATTAGGTTTTCCTAGAGAGTGTTTTTTCCTTTGTTATGGTTAGTCTTATTGTATTTTTTTTGCCCTTTTCGAGAGTAGTTTGCATTTTTTCTTCATTAAGCTTGAGTGAAAGAGAGTTGTTGATACTTCCTGATACTAATGCAAGATTACAAAAAAAAAAAATTTGAAAAAAAAAATATTTTATTATAATCTGTCTATTTCTTGCTTAATACCATGCAGAGAAATGTTATCAAAAAAAAAAAATCAGTTAAGAATCTTTTGATTTGATCAGTGTCTTTGATATTGACTGGTTCCATGCAGGATTTAGTGAAGAAAGCAGTCTCTCTTGCAATTGCTCGAGATGGTGCAAGTGGGGGTGTCGTTCGAACTGTTATCGTAAGTTTACTTACAAATTCTCTTAAAACTGTTATCTATTTAGGATTTTTAGTCGTAAAATTAGTCATTGATTTTTCCATCTGTTCCTGTGCCTTGTCTTTATGCTTTGTCTTGCTAAATCTTTGATTTTTATGAGGCGCATTTTGAATTTTTCTGTGGTTCACTGCCCTGAGACTATATGACTTCTAAATTCGACTCCTTATTCATTTCATCGGGTCACTTTTCATCGAGTCAATTTCCAACACATTCTCTTCTTCTATCATAACTCACACGCACCATTAGAAATTTGACAGTATCACTCCTTTGAATCAAGAGTATACCTATACCGGGGTGTTAGGATATCTTTGTCATCTGATTCGGAAGACAATTCCCAATTCTTAAACCAATGCACTTACCTGCTCATATCTGATTTTCATTTCATTGGGCCAATTTCCAACAAATCCCTACTTCGATCTTAATTCATATCCACCATTAGAAATTTGTCAGTGTCCCTCCTTTAAATCAAGAGTATACTCCTACCCTGGGTTAGGGTACATTTGCATCTGTTTTGGGAGATTTCGGTCCCAATTCATAAAGCTAGGGCAGTTACCTGTCATTTTTGCTCGTATTCATGGCTCTACTATCATCATCTTCATTATGATTATTGTTGCTTTTCATCATTTGTTGAATGTTGCAGGTACATCAAATTCTACCTGTTCGTGACTTATTTATTTTGGGTAATTGGCTTCTGGTTCAAATATCTAATGTTTTTATTATTGTTTACATGGGGTTTGCAGATAAACAAGGATGGTGTGAAGAGGCGTTTCTTCCCTGGTGATGCGCTTCCTCTATGGCATGAAGAATTAGAGCCTTGTAACTCGTTGCTCGATCTTCTACCAGAGCCAATGTCCACTTGAAAAACCTCAACTCATAAATATTTAGCGTTTTCTTATTGTTTCGACCTTTTGTCTCTGTAACCTGTTTTGTTTTAAAGATTTTCATATTTGGAAAGAGCAACGTCTATTATTTGAATTTGAATGTGTTATAAAGTAGACCTACACATGAAGATTATGTGCAGTTGCATATTCAACTTGGTTAGTTCATGGGATCTGATTGCGTCCTCTTTCACTCAATGGCATCTCAATTCCAAGTAGGGTTGCTAGCTGCTTTTGAGCTGGGTTCAGGGATACATGAGAGCCAGGTCACATAGGCCTGTAATGATTCGGGCCAGGTCTTGGCGAGCGTAGCCTGGCCCCAAATTTTTTTTAAAAAATTGTGTATAAGGAAGTTTTACTAGGCTTTATAGGATGGAATGTTGTGTGGTCAAGAAATACCAAATCCATCGAATGAGTTCATAGGAGTTAATTGAGATGGATGGGTAATAACATAAGAGGTGAAAAAATTTAGAGTGAATATAAATGAGAGAATTGAGGGGTTACTCGAATAGGTGATAGGATAAAAAACAGTAGACCTAGGTGGGCTGACTATGTGCAATGTTGATCTAGAACAATACGGTTTAAGAGTGAAGAGTTTGTTGAAGTGGAAGGCTCTAAAAGGGCAAGAAGAAGGTTGAGAAAGGCATGGATGGGAAGAGATATTGAGGATACAATTCTTGATAGAATGGAATAGTTGAACACAATTTGTGTGGTTGATCCCAACAGATTTTAAATAGTTGTGATAAAGTTCGGTAAGGTTCAGATGATGATGATGATAATGATATATATATATATAACTTGGTTTGATTTGGTTTGGTTTTCAAAGCAAATCCAGCCCGATCGATTTTAGGTTAAAATGTTTTAAGTTCGAGCTGTTCTCAAGCTTCGTCTAAAACTGAAATTTTGGGCTTGAGCCTACCTTGCTCTCCTGACCCATTACTGACCAGAGCCCTGCCCGTTGGCACCCCTAATCCCAAGGGGTCCCTCCCAAAAGAAAGGGAGAAGACCGTTAGTTTTGCACACCATTGCTATTTGTTCTCATGTTATTGCTAATCCCGTCTATAGTTAGCAAGTTGGCGAATAACAATGTTACTAAACCAAAGTACCACTAATAAATTTGGTTTGATAAAAAAAAGTGAGGCAAAAAAATCAGGACAAAAATAGGGGTCGCCAAAAATTATGTAAGCTAAATAATCTTGAATACTTTGGAGTTCGCTAAAATAAATGGAGTGAAAAAATCGGACATACCAAGATGACGTGTGACAGACTTATGATTTGAAGTTTTTGTAAAGATACATCAAGCTTATTAAACAATAATTATATATCCCTACTTGATATCATATAGGGTCATGTTTGGTAAATTTTTTGTCTAATTTTTTTTAAAACAACATCAAGGCTTCCTCCACATGGCTCAAAACATGCAAAAATGTTGTTGGGAGAGAATAAGGAAACAATACATTACTGAACCCAATAATTAGATTAACAAATTAAATCTTTTTTAATCAAGGTGTAGGGTTGTTGCTGGAAAAGAAGGTTTTTAACGTAGTATTGCAATTAACAGAGATCTGAAACCTATTAAATGTAAAATGATGGTCAATAAATTGCTTTGTTGTATATATTAATGATATAACCAAAATTAAAAAATTGTAAAATTATTCAAACTTTTGTAGATAGAGAGCAAGTAACGAATGACTTAATTATACTGAACAACAATGTGTATGCAAACTCAAAAACCTAAATATTCGAATGTCACCCCTAATATATCGGTGAAATTTGTATACAATTTTTTATTCTACCTAGATTCTTAATTTAATCCTAATGCGCATATCTCAAAAACAAAATTTCAAAGATATCAAATCAACGAGGAAGATAAGTAAAGTTATATCGAGTATTTTTTTTTGAAAAGTTGAGATAAAATACACTTTCATATCTGCTTAAAAAGAAAGTAGTTTTTTTAAGGGTGCGGTTTCTATAAGGTTGCAGCCTTAAACAATCCAATTAAGGCACACCTTAAAATTTTATCATAACATGTAATTTTGTTATAAAAAATTCTTAGTATTATCTTAAAATCTATTTTCATATCTAATTAAAAAATTTAAATTTAAAAAATAGTTAATATCAAGTAGATCTATAAATATATGAAAATCTTGAAAATGGATGGTCTAGATAATGTGTTACAAGCTGCACCATTTCCGGGACTCAAAAACTTTTTTTTTTTTTCATATTCATACATCTCAATGTTGAGATGATCGATTAGAGAGTTTTTTCAACATTAAAACAACATTTCCGATAGATTTTTGAGGTGCATATGTGATTCTACAATTTAAGGTTGCAACCTTATATAAACTTTTCTCCCTTTTAAAAAGCATCCTATACTTTCCCTTTTAAAAAAAAGAAAATTGTGTCATGTGGGCTGGATTACATTTCTACAATATGTGGTGTAGAGGTATAACGCATCCATCTTAAAGATGGATGTAAATAGGTAGAGTCCATCTAAAAACAATTGTAACTAACGGTCCAAATGTTTTCTTGATATAAATACTATTTTAGTTTTAAATATTTATTTGTTTTTTCATATTCACGATCAAATTATATGTATTTATATATTCTTTAAAAATACGATCAAATTATATTTGAAAAATATATTTATTGCCAAGCCCGCATTTTTACAATATGTACGCTGGCGGCATAGAAACCTTGTCGTCAAAAAAAAAAAACTTAGTTGCTAACGATTTCAAAAGAGAAAGGGGATAAGGTTTGTATAGAGTCGAGCCTCTAAAAAATCAAAATAAAACATACCTTCAAATAGTATCGAGAATGTGGTTTCAATATTGAAAATTTTTGTGATAGCCTTAAAATATATGTTTATCTATAATTATAAAATTTAAAGCTTCAAAAATATTACATATTTATGAGTACTTAAAAATTTACGGTTAAAAAATGCTTTACAAGATACATTACTTTCGGAAACCTATTATTTTTTTGTCATGTCCATGTATCTTGTCGAGATAATCACTTTGGGGATATTTAGGCATCAAATCAATCTCGATTAGTGAAAGTTTTGAGGTGGTCTCTATTTTGATTGTTTAGGGTTGCCCTTTTCAGAAGAAATAGTGTTTTAATGAGATGGCGAAGTATTGTCCCGCCCCAAACGCCTGTAGGACCAGAATTGTGACATGTGTTCCAATCATATTATGGATACGAAGAGCAAAAGTTTCATTCGACTTGAGAGAGAGTTTGTTTGTTGGGCGAGGGAGAGAGAGAGAGAGAGAGAGAGAATGAGCAGCAACGTATTTGTGTACGGGAGCCTTCTGGCGGAGGAGGTGGTGCAGGTGCTTCTGAAGCGCGTGCCTCCCTCATCCCCTGCCCTCCTCAATGACTTGTAAGTCAATGGCTCCTCTTCTCCTTAAATTCCCATTTTTTTCACTTCATTTCTTCCTTTCTATTTTTTCTTCATTTCCCAATCCCAGTTAGTAGTTTCTCCAAAATTCCTCATTCCTCTCTCTCTCTCTCCTGTGCATATGGTCTTAGGTTTTGTGGAGAATTTAGTTGATTTCCCTTGTAAACTGTAAAGCTCTGGTTTTATGATGTGTTTCTTTGTATATGGTGTTAGTTTTTGTGGATAATTCATCTAATTTCCCTTGCAAGCTGTAAAGCTCTGGTTTTTCGATGCTTTTTTTGTTTATGTGGTGTTAGATTTTGTGGAGAACTCAGCTAATTTTCCTTGCAAACTGTACAGCTCTGGTTTTATGATGCATGTGATTCCTGTTAGATCATGTGATTTCTTTTTCTTAATATTTCTTAGTTCTTACCAAAGTTCTCACCTGAATATTAGCTAAGATTATGTGATCTAGAACTGAAAATAGGTCCAGCTTTATTTTCAAATTCAGGTCAAATTTATATGGATTTGCTCCATTTCCCATTATGATCAATCAAATTTCTCAGGAATCTCAGTAGCTGTGAATTTCAAATTTTTAGTATGCTTGTATGAGCACGAAAAATATGTTCTATGGCACTTGACCTTGAAAACTTTTTTTTCCTTCTTTCTTTTTGAAGTCTTTAAACAGTTATAGTTCTAATATTAGATATGGGAAGGGAATTTTCATTTTACCATTGGTGTAGTGGTATTGTAGTAGTATATACATGGTTAGTTTATATAGTGCATCCATGGCCTCGTGTGGATTAATCAGAGGTGTGATTAAGGCCTCAGCTCTACGATCAAAAGTCAAACTGTACCTCAAAACTCCGTTGAGAAGTGTAGTTCCGGCATCAGAAACCACTATAATGGCCTGAAAATCTATTTCCACCACAGGGGATGAATTTTGAAGCTCAAAAATGAAGTAGATCTAGTGGATATGTGAACATTTGAAAATGAATGGTCCAGATAATAGTTATGAGTTACACTATTTTTTCCAGGTTGAAATCCAATATTTTTCTAAGGTCCATAGTTGCCGGGGTCAAGATGATCAGTTTGGTGCTTTTCAAGAGTCGTAACTGTATTTCACGGCAGGGTTTTGAGGTGCGGCTTCGCTCTTCTTCCTAAAGCGGAAGTCCAATGTAACTTCGATCAAATATTTCACATCACCATGCAACTAATATACCATAGATAATGTGGGGCTCCTCATTACATCCTGACTAGTACATGCTGCTAGGCCAAAATTCTTATTAGTTTTGGATACCTTCTTCCTCGTTTAGATATTTCCCCAAGGTAAGCACTCAAAAGTCCAAATTTGCTCTTTAATTTCATGGATAGCTTCAAGCCTTCAAATAACATAAGGACCTTATTTTCCATAAAATGACGCTTCTTCTGTTGATCTAGATTTCTATATGGACAAGGGTTGATAATCTATACCGTGGTGAACATGAATATTAAAAAAAAATAATTTTTAAAATAATAATGATAATAATTCTAGATGTACTTTTCTAGACCGTTGATTTAGGGATTTTGGTGGGACCACCACCTTTTAACATCCATCTTTAAGATGGGTGCTAGTTACGTGAAGGGATGCACATGTCAAAGTGCATCCTCTGTCGCACACTGTACTTTTCCTTTCTATATTTGTCCATTGCATAATTATATAGTACACCATTTTGTAGTGATCTGCAATCACTTGTTTGATTCATAATATATTTCTAGCCTTTGCATTCCTACATTGTTCACTCATTTAGAAAAGTTAACATTGTTTCGAAACAAATTTCTGTGATTCAGCCAAAGGTTTAGCATAAAAGGACGTGTTTACCCAGCTATTCTTCCTGTTGACAAGAAGCAAGTCACTGGAAAGGTTAGTTATTAATTGGTTACTTTTGCCCTTCATTTGAAAATAACCCATGCTAAGGTTTCACTCATCTTTTGTTGCAGGTTCTTTTGGGTATCTCAGACTATGAATTATACGTTCTAGATACATTTGAGGATGTGGAGTATGAAAGGAAACTGGTTGAGATCTCAAGGATGGTAATTCTTTGAGTGATGTTTTTAATTTATGTGCTACTGTGTAAATGTTGTTTTGACCCTTTACTTGTTAGCAATTTCTAACCTTCTAGTTTCATTCTGGGTAATAAATCATAATATTGAATCTCTTTCATAAGGAAAAAAACGAACTATTATATTTGTGGCAGCTACTTTAAATTTATTAGTATTTTCTTTGGAAAGAAAGCTTCCATATCAACATTAGTCAGTGGCATGCAGACTTATGGTGCCTTTTATTAAACATGCCCTTTGACCCTCAATATTAGGCACTTTCGAGGATGATGAGTTATCTTGGTATGGAGTGTCATAAAGTGACAGATACCAAATTGTGCATTTTGGTTGCCTGAACTCAATCTGGATGGCACTGTAAAATTTGTTGAAATTCGAACAGTCTGAAAGTATATTCGTGTAAAGTACATGACCGATTGAACCATGAAGTCAATGTTAGATTTGATTATCTGATTATTGCATATTAGTCTTCCCTTGGATTCATGGCTAGATAATTGGTTGTTGTATATTAGTCTTTGTTCCTTGAACCATGTATTCATCTCTCATGTGATCCGCAACCTTGTATTTTAACTACCCCTGTTCTCTCCATGTGAGGGGGCTACTTGACATTCTGATCTAGGGCACAAATTTTTCTAGAACTCAAGATTAACATGACAAATGTATAAAAGGTGTTCAACATACAACCCTACATAGAAAGAGATATCTATCAAAAGGTTTGGTGCTTAATACTGGTTTTTCCTTTTCCATTAGAGAGACATTCATCTTTTGAGAGCTCATGTCACCGTCAGGTGGAATTCTTGGACAAGTTTTGTAAAGAACTAAGATTATCTCCATAACTTCCTACTGTACTACGTGCATCATGATTGGAATATCTAGAGACAACTTGAAGAACTTGAAGAGGAAAATATGGAAGACACCCAGATGGAGCAATGTTTGGGATCCAAGAGATATTAAAGGAGGACATCAGAAATCTGTTTATGATATTACTATTTAACCTCTCTGGACTTGGTTACTGGTTTAACCAAGAGGCTTAAACATAAACTAACTCTTGTAACCTCAATCAAAAGCTATCCCTATAAACTAACTCATGCCTCCATGCTCCATCAATACATGAAGGGGCATTAGAGAAAGGTTTCTATACTTCCCCTACATCATAGAAGATCTATGCTTCCCCTACCATCTAGCCGTCCAATTTTGATCAAGAGAACCACTCACCGTTTGATCTTAGATCCGACGTCTCAAGGTATTTTATTTTTAGCGTTTTTTATACAAATTGTATGAATATGAAATTTGGTACGTGCCATCTTCTCATTGGGGCGCCCTTATAAAAAATATTAAAAATAATTTTTCGATAAAATATAATGACCAAAATACCACTTGAAACTTTCAAGGGTATTTTGGTCATTTTTATTTTAGTGGAAATATATTTTTAATATTTTTCGCTAGTGCGAGCTTATTAGAGGATTGGACATCCAAAATTTGGTGTCAAAATAGTTTATAGAAAAAAAATGAAAAATAAAATAGTCTAGAGACGTGACATTGTGATTGGGGCAATCTTAGCCCTCCATTCAGAGTTGACGGTTGGATAAAGGGAAGCATAGAAAGCTTGCCCTTAAGATTAATCTTTGCATAGTTAGGAGCCATTTGTGAAGTGTCCCAATTTCGTCATTCTTATTTTGGGAAAATTTACACTCTTTTGAGTATTGTTTGGGGTGCTCAAATGGGCCATCCACCATCTGTACTTATCAATGGACAGTAGTGATGACCTGTTGTCCCGCAGTTAAATGTCATCCGGGAACCTCCACCAACCTTTGAAGGTGACTCTGATTGGTTGGCCAGAGCACCCCAAAATATACTATTTGGGATATCTGATATCCACTCCCTCTTAATTAACACGGACAATAGGTTGAATTACATCTTGGACTTCAGTTTGAAGTCACCGATAATGCTGAAATGGGCTGATGGGGAATTGCAGGATACTTCGGAGAAGCTGCCAGCCCATACTTACGTTTGGGGGAAGAAAGATGATCTAAATTTATGTGGAGACTGGGATTTCGTGGTAATATTTTCTCCAACTTCATGTTTTAAATGTTTTTGTGAATTATAGCTTTGAGAACGGACACAATAGTATGATTGTTTTGCTTAAATGGAAACATAACTCTTAGCTCAATAATATGATTCTTTTACTTAAAGGAAATCATATTATCAGCCTTTTCTATGTTGAACTTGGGCATAAAATATGACAACTAAAAAGAATGCCTATTTTTCTTCGCAATTTTGTTCATGTTCTTTTTTATTTTGGCCATATTTATTGGGGGGGTAATTTATCAAACTCCCCTCAAGATTTGAACGATTTGATCAAATTCCAAATAGTCCATCAAATAAGGCGTCAAAATGGGCTTTAAAAATTATCAAAATATACCTATGGTGGAATGTTAAATAATTCAACTTTTATTTGTATTTTGATAAATTTCCCTTTATTTAGTTTTCTTGTTTAATTGATATGGGTGCCTTTGTTATTTTTCTAATATTAAAAATTGATTTCAGGATTGGAAGGAGAAATACTTGAATGATTTTGTTGAGATGGCAAAAGGTTTCATTGATGAATTGGATCAGCCGGAATCATTGCCCAGGGTGGCCACTTATGAATCCTATTTTCAGAATGGAGAGAGAGCATCCACTTGAAAAGATTAACCTCGTTCTTGGGCAATTCAAATAATAGGTGGCCTTCTGTGGCTTCTTGGATATTCATACATTGCATCTCATCATTCTTCTCTGTTTATATATAATTCAAGAAAGGCAAACAGAGAAAAAGGATATGAAATTCAATTTGGAGTACTAGTGTTGCTCTCTCTGAAACCTCAGTTTGTATATAATTTTAAAAAGGCAAACAGAAAAAAAGAATATGAAATTCGATTAGGAGTACTAGAGTTGCTCTCACTGAAACTGCATAGAAGTATAGAACCAGTGAGGCTCTCACACATACACACAATATGCGTGCTCACACGCACTCACAGAAATTTGGAGAACTGAGGCCTCTCTCTCATACACGATCATTTGGAGGACAACTCTCTCTTATGCGTGCACACACTAAGTGGCTGGGAGATCTTGCTCTTCGAGATTTTCCCTAAGGTCTTCTCCAAAGTCGACAATCCGTTGGTTTTAGTGAAAGATCTCAGAGGAGCTGATTTTACTAACTCTTCTTGGAATATTGTTTGCAGGTACAAGTGTCTCAAATTCTTTCTTTCATGAGTTCCAATTACTTATGAATTTGTTGTAGAATTTTTTTTATGTTCTCAATAAAGATGATCGATTGGTGTGGAAACTCATAGCTTCAGGGGATTTTTTAGTTATGTCTGTCTATCGACTGCTGCATGAGGAGAATCACAGAGCGATTGATCGTAGTTTTGCAAGAATTTAGAATTTACAGGTGCCGTTGAAGGTTTAGTTATTTTTGTAGGTAGCTTTTCAAAAAAAGTTGTCTACTGATAACCTTCTTAAGAGAGGTTTCATAATTGTCAATGTTTGTAGGCTATACTTGAGGGATAACAAAAGTGTGGACCATATTTTTTTGCATTGTCCTTTCACTTTAAGCATGTGGGATTGGTGTAAAAAGATGTTGAATCTAAATATCTTGATCCCACAAAGTCTAGAGTTGATCATCTCTCAATGGATGAACTTTGGTCGGTTGAAAGTTGGCACTGTGTTATGGAGAGCTTTATGGGTGAGCACTATTGGAATATTTGGAAAGAGAGAAATAAAAGAACATTTCAAGGGACACAAAATGAGATTGAAGTTTTGAAGTCCAACGCCTTAGCAACAGTAGCTGAATGGTTTTCAACAAACAAAGATTGTAAATTTATCCCAAAATCACAATTTTTTTAGAACACTGAAGTTGATAAGCTTAATAATGACAGATAGACTTGAAATGCTATTTGAACGTCTCTTCATGAAAATTGCTTAAAACTTAACTTTGATGGAAGCTTGATTGGAAACTCAGACAACTAGGTTATGGTGGTACCATTAAAGATCATATGGGTAATTACAAATTCACCTATTCTGAGACCATGTGAACGTATAGCGAATGAAGCTGAGGCAAGAGCTCTTTTAGAGGGTTTAAAGATAATAAAGAACCTCGAAAGCCAAAAGATGATTGGACAAATGAAGCCAACTTGGAGATTATGCAGCATTTTCGATGAATTTTTTTTCATTTTAAGTAGTAGTTCTTTTGAGTTATTTCATTGTTTTAGGTAGGCTAATATAGAAATTGATGCTTTAGCAAAGGTGGTGTGCACCAACATTCATTGGTGGTTACACTCTTTTTTTCTTGAACCTCCTTGTAATCGTTCATGGGTGAATAAAATTCTTAATAACTTATTTCAAAAAAAAGAGGCTCTCTCTTCTCCTCTTTCCACTAGATGGACAGTCAATGTACCGGCTCTTTTATACAGTCCATGGGATTTTCAACTATTTTTCCTTTTCTTTTTGTTTAAGAATATGGCAGCCTACCTAGACAATTCCCAGAAAAAAAAAAAGGAATGCGAGTACCAAATGAGAAAATATACTAAAAAAAGTTGGATTTTAAGGTTTCATAGCATATCAGAATTCAGAGAGGGAGGAGGAGAAATGGAAACCTGTTTTCCGGTTCAAAAATTTACACCATGTAACTATCCTTTTATCCCCAAAAGGACGATTGGTCTTCTTTTGTCTAAGATGGACGGGTGTTGCATGGTACCTTAGACATTATCAAATAAATATAATATAAAATAAAATAATTTGCAATGAAAAGTAATATTAAATAGAGTATGCTCTTTATGGGCAATGATTTCATGCAACCTGTATAGTAATTTTTTTTAGCCCAATTAACATAAGCCGTTCATTTTGGTGAGATGGTTAGACCTAGTCTTTAGAAGGATTTTTTCATTTCCAATTTTTTTGGATGACTTTATTATCATTAGATGAACAGTATTAAAAAAGAAAAAAATATTTTTGAGTTTATAAAGGTTAAGATCTTGAAATTCACAAAATGAATGGTCTAGATTCGTTTTTGGAGGGGACTCATTTTGATCATATCTAGGGTTCAAATTGATTTTTTTTTTTTTGATATTGATTATTGAGATAAAGAGAGCATATATCTAGGGTTCAAATTGAAATTTTTTTTTTTTGGGGATTGATTATTTTATGAAGGGAGCATGTGTGTAAAATTTGGGGTCATACAAATACCACAAACATGGTTTTCTAGAAGTGTTGTTGCATTATACTATGATACAACCGTTGTATTAGATCATTGCTCTTTATTAAAAGGGAGTGATTTCATGCAACGATTGTATAGTAATATAGTAAAACAATATTAAAAAATTATGTTAGTGTCATTTGTTTGACCCAAATTTTAAATATACATTTTTTTCATTTTAATGAACAATTACAAAAAAGAAAAATTAAAAATACAATTTAGAAAGTGTGTTTTTAGCCCAGTTGACATAGGGCGTCCATTTTGGTGAGATGCTTAGATCTAGGCTTTTAGAAGGATCTTTTTTATTTTCAAAATTTTTAGCTAACTCTATAATTATTGAATTAACAATGTTAAAAAACAAAAAATTGATTTTGAATTCATAAAAGCCTTGATCTTGAAATTCACCAAATAGACAGTCTAGATTCATTGTTAGAGATGACTCATTTTGACTACATATAAGGTGCAAATTAAATTTCTTTTTTGAGATTGATTATTGAGATGAAGGGAATCCATGTGCAAAATTTTGGTTCATACAAATACCACAAACTTGGTTTTCTAGAAGTGTGGTTTATTATATTATAATGGCATAGTGACATGATATCATTTCCTTTTATTAAATGTTTAGCATATTTCATTAAATATTAATAGCCATAATTTAAAGGAAACAAGTTGACACCTTAAAATGTTGAATTAGTGTTCACCCCTAAAATCTTTCAAAAAAATTTATTTTGGTGTTGGAAAATCATCTAATTGATTATCTTAACATCGTGATATATATATATATATATATGTTTCAAGTCTTAAAAAAATACATCTCGCACTCGATTATCTTGACCATCTATTTTCAAGATTTTAACTCATTTATAGATCTATTTGATTTGAATCATTTTTTCTGTTTAAAAGTTTATAACTAGAGAGATTATATAAACTACAACCTTCTTTAAACTTATTTTACATGGGTTGGACTGCATTTGTACAATATGCGATCCAAAGGTATAAAGTTGGTGGTCCATTAAAAAACAATTGTAACTAATGGTTCAAATGTTTTCTTAATATAATTATTATTTTTAATTTTAAAAATTTATTTTATTTTTCATATTCATAGTCTCTAAAAATTAAGATCAAATTATATTTATTGCCAATCCCGCATTTCTACATGTACGGGCTTCGCCGCATGCTAACCGCTTATTGCTACCCTAAAGGAAGTGTTTTCTTTTTTTATAAAATATGCTAAAAGAGAGTGTTGTGCTAAACATTTTGTATGACTCAATAAACATATACACATATAGTATGACTGTAGACGTTTTTCATGTTTTAAAGAATAATAAATTAGTAGCATGAGTTACGTTGTTATTAAATATCACATGAGCTATTTTAATCAGATTATAAATATTATTAGTTTGTAATTTAAATAGTAAAATAGTTATCTATTTCAAAAATTGAAGATTATGAAATAGTAGAGTATTTTAAAAATTTATCAATTTATCATTGAGATATTGGAGGAGACCGTATGTCCATTCTTATTGAGCTATAATCAGATTATAAATATTATTAGTTTGTAGTTTAAATAGTAAAATAGTTATGTATTTAAAAAATTGAAGATTATGAAATAATAGAATATTTTAAAAAATTATCAATTTATCATTGAGATATTGGAGAAGACCGTATGTTCATTCTTATTTTCTAATTATCTTTGTGATCTTCTTCACGTAGCATCACATTATCTTCATCATCTTCATTTTGAGGTATCCGATTATCTTTATGATTTTCTTTTTTCGCAAGTCACATTCTCCTTTATGAGTTCATCATCTTCTTTATCATGAGACATCCTATATTCTTCTTCGTCAATGTATGCTATCATGTACTTTCACCAGTCTTTAATCAAAGTCTGTGGGGCAAAATCAGCCTCACTTCTTTATATATGTCTCTTTAATTTATTTGTTTAAATAATCAATCTATATCTCTTAATCATAGTCTACTACTCAAAATCTGTAGAACTTCTTTATTGTCACTACTTTATCTATGTTTCTTTGATTTATTTGTTCAAGTAATCAATCTATATCTCTTTAAGATTTTTCAATCGTAGTGTGGAGCAGAGTCCTTAATCGTAGTGTGGAGGAAAATCGGCATAACTTCTTTATCTATGTGTATTTTTCTTTAATCTATTTGTTTCATTAGCCAATATCCCTTTATTTAATCTTAGTTTGTAAGCAAAATTGACCGCACTTGCTTATCTATGTCCAAGTAATTATAGCTGTGCCTTTAATCCATTTGTTTAAGCAATCAAAACACTTACCTATGTTTTTTAAAATTTAGACTTTAAAAATAATATTGAGATTCAAGAGAATTTATCAGGCTAATAAATATTTTTCAAATTTAATAAGACTCTAAAAGAATATTGGGATTCAAGGGAATTTATCCAGCTAATAGATGTTAAGTAGATTTGAAGTATTTAACATCTTCCTTATATTTTTGAACTAATTTCAAAAACCTTATAGTTTTCTAACTAATTTTCTCGAACTGATTTCAAATATATTATATTTTCCTCATATTTTCTAACTAATTTCAAATACTAAGAAATTTTAAAAAACAGGTTTCAGGTGAATTTATCCAACTACCCTCAACATTTGAAGCATTTAATATAATTCTTGTATTTTTCATGTATTTTTTAAGTGATTTCTGAATAATTTTTTAAAAGAAGGTTAAATAGTTTATTTTAATATATTTTTCGTACCTTGATTATTTCTTTTGTTACTATGAAGATAGGTACTTATGGATCCTATTGTATGAAGAGGGGATGTACTTGAAAAAATTAACTCCCGTGAAATTTTAAAATAATAAGCGGTACTAGTGTATATTACATCTCATTATTCTTCTCTATATATGTAATTTCAAATAAGGGAAATAGAAAAATAAAATACGAAATTCGACCTATAATACTTCTTCTCTATATATGTAATTTAAAATAAGGTAAATAAAAAAATAAAATATGAAATTGGAGCGATAATACTACTACTGTCGCTCTTTCTTCAATTAAATGGGTGACGCGCTTTTTCTCTTCAATAGATAGTTGTTACTCAATGGCCTGTATTTTTTACCGATAGGTGTGACTAAATGGACTGACTTTTGGAAAATTATTTCATAAGGGGTGAGCCACATTTTTACAATAATGCGGTTCAGAGGTATAAAGCATCTATCTTAAAGATGGATGTGTGGTTCATCTAAAAATAATTGTAACTAACGGTCCAAATGTTTTTTTAATATAATTATTATTATTAGTTTTCAATTTTTTTTTCATATTCATGATCTCCATGTTAAATATTACATATTCTCTAAAAATTAAGATCAAATTATATTTAAAAAATATATTTATTGCCAAGCCCACATTTCTACAATATGCGAGCTGACCGCATAGAAACCGTGTCCCTATTTTTTTTAGATAGAAAAAGTTACCTACGGACCTTTTACCCTATTATTATGAAATGTTCTATATTTTGATTAAAATTTACACAGAGACCACCGGCCTTTTTTTTTTTTGGGCCCTCCTATTTGACATTTTCAACACTTTTCATTTCGATTTCTTTTGTTTGAGGTATGTCTGATATTAGAACCACCGAACAACCTTATGTGTTGGGCTGTTCAGTGTTTCTAATGTCAGACATACCAAAGTTCGTAGGGTGTCTTGACTTTAGCAATAGAGATATGAATGCGTTTTTTAAGTTTTAACCTATCCAATATTTGCGATACAAGACATGCTTGATTTAGGGCAGGTTCAGGTGTCCCATATTGCTAATAGGGGACACCCTATGAACCTAGACTTTTGCGCCGTTTGACATTATAAACACTGAACTGATAAGGTTGTTCAATGTTTATGATATTATACTCACCTTAAAACAAGGAAAGAATATAAATATTGGGAAATGTCCCACCTGTGTGTTGGAAATGTCGGTGGGCAATTCTTGAAAAGAAAAGGGAGAAGTGGGGATGGTCTCCTCTGCAAAAATACAGAGCATTTCATAATAAAGGGGAATAAAAAGGGCCATACATAATTTTCCTTTTACATATTCGATGGGATTGTAAACGACCATCCCATTTCTTTCGATTACTCAATATAATGGTTTTTACAGATAATTGTAACAAAATAGACGGTGGTTATGACATGTTCCGTGGATTATAGAGAACCTTCCCTTTTCATTTTGTTGCTCTACTGTTTGAGGGCCATGTCTTTCTGTTTTTCATTTGTTTGGGGAATATGATATCATCGTACAAATCACAATATTATTACGAGAATCATGAAAATTTTTTAAAAATTAATAATAATAATAATAATAAAGCGAATCTCAAATAAGAGAACATGTGAAAAGGATTCTAAGGTTTCATAAAATGGAATATCAGAATTTAAAAAAAGAAATAGAACTCCATTGTTATCTAGTCCAAATTCCAAACCTATTCATTGAGAAGAATAATTTATCTTTGATATCTTAATCTATGAGAGAGATTAAAATAAAATTTGGCTAATTAATCAACCAAGAGAGAGAGATTTCAGTTCAAAAAAGTACTCTAGAGAGATACAGAGAGGTCAAAATAAAATTTGGTTAATTGATAAACCGAGAGATCTTAGTTCCTAAGTTTAATTTTGCAACAAAAAAAGAGTGCAAGTTGAATGTTAGGAAATTGAAAAGCTGGTGTACTTTAATAGAAGGGTACGGTTTGTTTAGTTAGAGCCTACCTTCAATTGGTTTCGAGAAATGTGGTTTCAATACTGGAAATCTTTGTCATAATAAAGTTTAAAGCTTCAAAAATAGTGTAGATCGACAGATCTATGTAAATTTAAAAATTTTGAAAATTAACAGTCCAAAAATGCATTACAAAATGCACTATTTCAAAAACTTGAAATCCATTTTTTTTCTCATGTCCATGCATCTCGATGTCGAGATGATCAATTTGAAGATATTTGAGCATCAAAACAACTTCTTCTAATAAATTTTTTGAGATAGACTCAAATTTGATTGTTTAGAGCCTCGGCTCTATATACCTTAATTAGAAATCAAGCAATTCATAATAACGGTAGAACCTGTTCACACTTGTTGAATAACCTAAATACCCCTCGAAATTTTTAATATATAAACGAGTAGGATTTACGTGCAATATGCGGGAGTTCTCAATCTGGACCGTCCGTTTGTCTAATGGATTCCCACCAAATCAATGCAATTTGAGGTCCCACCCCAACTCCACATTGCAATCTCGCATGTGTTCTTGACAAGTGTGGCCCCAACAGTAGAATTTGCCAAAATTAGTAATAATTATTCCAAGAAATTACGACCCAAATAAAGCAAAGCAGTTACCGATTCATGCCTCAAAAATAAAAACCAGTTCATAATCAAAGAAGAAAGGAAAGGTATAGAGAGATGGGAACAAAGCAAAGCTAGAGAGAGAGGCCTCTTACTGTTTTTTTTATTCTTTCAAATTTTGTTTTCAGAAGGAGAGGAAAGAGAAGAAAGCAGAGAAGATAAAGGAGGAACATGCATAATTTCTCTTTTTAGTGCTTCACTACTCAGAGGTATTTCTACTCTTTTTAAACTAAATAGATTGATCAGTTTATCTCTACTCCTTCAAAGTAAATTAAATACATTTGACTCTTTTAAACTAAATAGATTGATCTGTTTATCTTTACTCCTTTAAACTAAATTAAATACATTGATCCATGGATTCCAAGAAGAGGAGTGCTTTAAATACATAGATGGCCACTTGAGAAAAAGAGCAACCAGTAAAAGTTTTTTTAGCACATCCATTTCATGAAGGGAAAAAATAAATCTTGTGATCCTTATTAAATGATGATGCGATTCTATAACATTACTTTTCAAATTTCTCTAATAATCTTAAACATTTGGGGTTAAACATTTATATTTATTTAAGCATTACTTTTTACCGATAAATTATCAAACATTTGGTGTATATTTAAGTTATTACTTTTACTGGTCAAATGATCATGAGAAATTTATCAAAAAAACCGAAGAGGTAAATTAAATGTTGTTTAATTTTAAAAATCCCAATCAAAATACATATGATCGATGGGCTAGAAACTTAGAATAGTCCAAAACGCGCAAATGTTCAATAGATAAATTTCCTAGGTATTATTGATCATGTCACCGATGGATTTGTCCTGATCCTAAAGAAAATAAAAAATTTCTCTAAAATCAGAGGAAGAATTCTCTACAATAGGCAGTGCATTTGTTTATTGACAGATAAGCTGATAAACCTCTCTCTCTCTCAAGAAGAAAGAAAAAATATTATCTAAAAGCCGGCGTTCACTTGTTTATGTGGAAGATAAACTCTCAAGGAAAAAAAAAACTACCTGCATTTGCTTTTGTGGAAGATTAGCTTGACACACACTCTTTATCTCTCTCTTGCAGATTCCAGAGTGAGGTTTTTGGACTCCTTTATCCTATTCCTTTTCGTTTTTAAACTCCTTTATCTTGTTCCTATACGAAAATCCTCAAACTATTGACTATTCTTTGATCTTGATCCCCATATCCCTTTATACAAAAACATCCTTCAGTGAACCAACAACATGGACTCCTTTCATAAAAATAAATAAATAAATCAGCTGTAGCGTACGCTTAGAATTCTTACAGAAAAAAACTCTACCTTACGCAAAAGACACTCACAATCACCCCCATCCATTGGATGTAAAATCTGACAGATCTAACAGCCCATGATGTGCCACAGTGTGAAAAAAAAAAAAAAAATTGAAATTTTTGAGCTCTTACATCCAACACCCAAACGTTTATTCTGTACGTACTTCCTATACCAAACTTGCCAATTTCACAGCCAGGTACCTATATATTTTCATTTTTAACAAGTTCTTGTTTCTTCCATTTGTTTTGAGCTCTTTTTATCTGATGCTTCACCTTCCAACATTAATACCTGGCTCTTGTCCTCAACCTTTTTGTCTGCCTTTTGGGCCCTTTTTTCTACCCTTTAAAAACCGTTGCTTCCAATGCACTTCTTCCAATATTTATAACCAAGAAGCCAGTTGGTCTTTTCACATTGTTACCAGTTCTTTTGTTCCCATTCACGACTACAGTTTCAGAATCCCCAGAATAGCATTCTGATATAAACATTTTAATGAAGAACGACTTTCTCATACCCTCTCATTCTGTTGAGATTAGATCCAGTGTAGCAAGAAATCTCATAATAACCTGATACTAATGAATGTCTCTTGAAGGGGGGAAAACAAAAAAAATACCTTAAAAGGTCAAAACAAGCATATCTTACTCATAGACCAAGTTAAAGCCTAAACAATCAGTCTTAATGAATTTTCTTGTGTGCATTTGTGTCCATATGACCAAGGAAGCCCATATAGCCCCAAATATGCTTTTCCAAAGCCCACCAAAAGATACCTAAATGAATGAGAACCCCAAGAATACATATTTACAATTTTTTATAAAGTGCAAGTCTAGAAACCTCTCCCCGCTCATGCAGACCCACCTTACCTAATGGTGAAACATAACCAAACTTCTCTCAACCCCATGAACTGAAAACATAGAAATCCATTTGCATTTCCAAGAGATAAATTAGAGTCCAAAATTCTCTTTTAATGAGTTTTCTTTAACATTATCCAAATCCTACCAAATAATTTACACAAGAAAAATGTTGATGATTTCTGCACAATTTTACAGAACCACTGCAAATTCAAGCCTTCTTCAGAAAAGCACTAATAATACAACAGAGCTTTCCATGGGTAGCAGGAGACATACCAGTAAGCTTCACTTTCAGAACCCACGAGCCAATGATTTATTTGCAGCTCTCAGCACGATCCACAAAGTAAAACCATGGATCGGCTCAATCCTCACGGTCCGTCTACCCCTTTTTGCTATCTAAAATGTTGTTGTGCCTAGAACCTTATGAGTTTCAGATTGACCATCCGAACGCTCCTGTAATCTCTGGGTCATTTCAACTAAACCAAAACAAAAAAGGGTACCCCTTTCAAATCCATGCATTAAGAAAACAATGTGTTCCCTCCTCTTCCATCCTTGAAGCCTCTCTCTCCTTCCAATGTAATAGCTTAAGCTTTACCCATCAGATCATGAAGCTAATGGGGAGACCTACCTCCACCCATTTTTGGATCATGCAGCTAATGGGGAGACTTACCTCCACCCCATCTTTTTGGGTAGCTGCCTATTCTATTTTAAAAAGGAAACCAATTTCTCAACATCTGGATTTTAAAACACTCTCTCTTCATGAATGTTCAAATGATCCAGCCGATGGGTTGGCAGAATTTTGGTCACATTGTCCCCCTCTCCAAGCATTTCCACCATCTGAGCTGCTACACGCCTGGTTTTGGAGGACTCCATTTCCTAAATCACCATCCAGACTCATTTGCTGAACTTCGGCAGGTGATAGTATCCTAATGCTCTGGACATAGCTCACAAATTCACTGAAGATTCACCAGAAAATATATGAATCAGCTCAAATGTAAAACTACTCATTTCTAATGTTCATATATTATTCAGATTTTCCTTTATTTAAACAAATCTGTTATCTTCTTGCATGGGAGTATTTCAGGAAAAGTTGAATATGATGTTTCTAGTTTTCGTATAATACAACCAGAAAACTCCTTAAAACTATAATACTTTAGTAAAACTTACTCCCAAGGGTCATCCCCCACAAGTAGAATGTCGCCCTCATTGTCAACGTATACTAGTTTCCAGCCAGTTCTCAGAGGATCCTCAAGCTGCCCTTCAATCCCAAACATAAGAGCAAGATCATGTCTAAGCTCCTCATAGCCCTTATAACGTGTGATATCGATAGATCTTCCAACCGCACCACGTTTGTACACCTTTTTAAATGGAAAGTTAACAATTCAGTGGTATCCAACTAAAGAAACAAATCCAACAACACACAAGGACACCAATTCTTAAATTGGAGTTTTCTAGCATAAAAAAAAAAAAAGGCCCAAAACCAAGAAAAGCTCTTTACCTTTGTATATGTCCTCATGCGGGGGAACTGTGTAGGCCATGAGCTTCTGTTCATGAAGCTTCCATCGCTCATGCTCGGATCCATCCCCCCATTGAATGGTAAATTGGGTACTCCAAAAGATTGAGAAACCATTGATGTGGAGACCTCTTGTTGGATTTCCCCCTGAGTCCCATAGCTTGTAGAGGCATTTCCATTGGGAATCTGGTTCTGGAAAACCTTTCCATTAACCAAGCTCCTCACCAACAAGGGATCAGGTGTCGTAGGAATATTCAGTGGGCTGTCAATATTAACTCCAAAAAGAACATTATTTCTTGGGTCAGCCTGCATCTCCCCATCCTCCCTAAACATTAGTTGTGAAGGGTTGAAAGAAGAGAGTGGGAAATTTTGTTGCAAAGTGGGACCCTCAGTTTGAGAAAGGCAGATTGAAGTTGCAGATGAAGATGTGTCCAAGTAATCCATTTGTGCAGCATTAAGATAAGTTTGTAAAGCAGCTTGGCTTGGAGTTTTTGGCAATGATACAGAAGGCTTTATCTGAAAGTCTGGTTTCTGTTGTGTCAATTCCTTGGCCGTGCTAGCCCCATTAGATCCCATTGCTTCAAGGGTGCCAGGGCTTATAACAGTAGCAGCTGATTGGACGATATCCTCAACCTTAGGTCCACTTCGGTTGTTTCTTGACAATATAGGTTGGGTCATGACCGAGCAATTGTTTGTCGAGGGTGAGGTCGAGCAAGAGGGGGCTTCATCAGTGACCCCTGACTGTGCTGCCCTTGTGTTGGCCACTAGGCCATTGCTAGGTGCCGAGTGGTGGTTGGTTGATGCCGATAGACAACTTGCCGGGTTCTCAAGTAACAGAACCTGCTGTTGTTGGGGCAATTTTTGTTGCATAGAATGGGGAGAGAACTGGATACCAGTTTGGGGAGAACTCTTCGGTATATGTTGTTGATGAAATAAGAGTGTGTTCACACCATGCAATTGTTGGTGTGGTTGGGTTTGATTTGAGGGAATAGATTGTTGCATCAGCTGTTGGGATAGTTGTTGTTGGGCTTCCAACAAGAGCTGCTGTCTTTGCTGCTCTTGAAGTTCAGGTTGCTGATTCTGCAACATTTGCATCTGCAACTGATGCTCTGATGGCTGTAGGTTTGGCTGTTGATGGTTTTGAACCACACTTTGTTGAGGCTGCTGTGGTGGTGGCCTCTGTTGTTGTTGTTGTTGTTGTTGTTGCTGCTGCTGTGTTGCTGCTGCTGCTGCTGCTGCTGCTGCTGTTGCTGTGTTGCTGCTGCTGCTGCTGCTGCTGCTGCTGCTGCTGCTGTTGCTGCTGTTGTTGTTGAAGTGAGGTGTTTTGAACAGGCCTTGGCTGCTGTATAGAGCCTTGAACCAGGCCTTGGGCCAGCAAAAGCTGGCCCTGAACCAGGTTTTGGGTTTGAACCATGCCTTGGAGCTGGTTCGGAATTGAATTTTGGGTTTGACACATGCTTTGGCTCTGCAGAAGCTGGTTCTGAATTGGGTTTTGAGCCTGACCCATGTTTTGGCTTTGAAGAAGGGGGTTCTGAACTTGGTTCTGAGTGAAGGTAGAATTACTAATCACACAATTCTGTTGCTTTTGCTGCTGTTGCTGGGGAGGGAGTGGCAATGATTGTGACAGAGGCTGAGGCTGAGAGTGCTGGTTCACTTCACCTACAACTGTTTGAGCTAACTGGTTTGATGGCCATGACATGGGCGGCTTAAGGTCAGGTAGTTGTTGGGTTTGCTGAAGCTTAGGAACATTGAATGGAAGGTTGTTTTGTTGTTGCAAAATTTGGGATTGCAACCTTGAGAGATCAGAGGCTGCATAGTTTTGTAAAATGGGTTGTGCAGTAGCCATGGGGTTGCGCAAGTAGTCAGGCTGGACCCCGGGGCCACTGAGCAGTGCGTTCTGTTGTTGCTGTTGTTGTTGCATGCTCATCCACTGGACTAGGCTTAGTCCAGGGATTACAGGGGGAGAATGCGCTTGTGGGTCCTTTATGCATATCTCATCTCCAAGCCATGGCATAGTTCGCTTGAGGATGCTCTCTATATCAGATTCATCATCTACAAAGGATAAAATACCAACAGTAAATAATGCATGAGAAAAAGATTGGTTTGGTTTGTGAATAAAGAGATACTAAGCTGGCAAATAGAACACAAGAAACGATTAATACACGTATTTCTACCTGGCATTCCTGGCTGTCTCGGACGTTTGGTTCGGAAGAAGGGAGGGGGTAGATAAAGAAGGGGGCTGCCACTGGCTCAATCTCCCAAATGGAGACTCGATTCCGCCTTTCACCGGCTGTTGACTCATCCCAACCAACCTGTGGAAGAAAGTAGGACACAGGTTAAGTCAAAAAGTAGCTGTATAGAACATGCAGAAACTATTTTGGACTAGATAGTGTTCTTTCCTTGGGATATATATCAAGTTGCACTAATGTTGTCACTGAATGGTAAAAGATATATATTTATAGAGGAACAGTACTCTATGCACGATACATTCCGTGTAGCATGCGAATACCATACACCTCCATCTGTCCTCGACAACCGATGGTAGAGATGATGCATTCCTTTGCTCAAACTGTTATTACTCTAAACAATATTTAATATATAATCCAACAGCAGACACTAAATGTTAAATTGCAAGACAGAAAGGGTACCTGCAGATTGCGCCACTGTGAATTCTTCCATCGCACTGCATCAAGATCACTGATACCGGTAATGGTTCCCATATACCTGCCAAAATAGGGAGAATAAGTGCAAACATTCAAGATTTGTCTGAAGTTAAACTGAAACTAATACATATTTATGGAACCATAAATGAAAGATTCCAGTATTAATTACCTGCGTGTCCCAGACTCCTCGGTTTCAAACATCATCCGAAACCGCATGCCAAGTGATACTTGAGTACCATAAATTGCCTTGTTGTATTTGGCCAATGGAATGACAAATTCCGACGGGCTTGCCCTAATAAAATACAATGACTTCAAGAATTGCTAAACAAAAAAAGCTCTGAAAAGTGCAACAACTATGAGATTTAGTTGAGGACTGATGAAAGCACACAACTCAAGCAACAGTGAGTACTGCTGTAAACCCAAGAAAGTACACACAAATTTTAGAACTAAGTGCTTTAGTTATTAGTTTCCATGCACCCATTGTCGCACCTTTTTCTACCTTCAATATAAGTGTAGCATTTCTGGGGAACCTAAGGTAGTCTCGAAATCAAAACCAAAACTAGCATGAAACAGACATCAAGCTTATACTGACCTTGGATTGTAGAACACAGTGAAAGGGCTGTGATTTGCTGCAGCATGGGCTGCAGCAGCTAGAATACCGATATGCATGCTATCACTAGATAGAACAGAGGATGAAATGTTTGTAGGCTGCCTGTTTGCTCGCCTTATGCCCAAAAGAAGCTGTTGTTTCTCATCCCTACTCAGAATTAACAAAAGAACACCAATTAGCAAAAATCAAAACAGATAATTTGCAAGACAGATGTGTAAGAGGTTGATCCTAGTGCTTGGCCACTCAAGATATACTATGGTTCAAAGCAAAAGAAATATGATATCTTGATTTAAAAGGTCGTTCCATTTTGTTTGAGTGTATTATCCATTTCATTGATCTTTTTCCTTCTCTTCATAATTGGACCACCGTTTACTAAATCTCAAGCTAGTAGCTAATAATAACTCGATTGGTCATTGAGTGCTACTTATCAACCGATCACAACTCTTTGTCATATGTTGACAATACCTAAATTTAGAACTCTGTAACCGTGATTGAAAACTTGCAATCAAGCCTGAAACTGGGTATGGCCTGAGCTCAAGTTCCAGTCTGGCTGAGTCTCAGCAGTGACTCAGCTAAGTCTACAAAATTACACAGTAGGTTCTAGGGCCAAGTCAGACTCCTGCAAGTCCTGAGTTTTTGGACCCTGAACCGGGGACCCTGCCAGGTCGAAAGCTTGAAGCCGAGCCACTGAGTTTTCTGTCACTAGTTTGCAGAAGAAAAAGAAATAGAAAACACGCATGCATATCAAACTTCAATGCTTGCACTGGTACCTTATAAATAAGACAGAGTCGCCAGCAAAAAGCCTCTTCGAACTGACAAACACACTCCAACCAGTTGTAAGCAGATGCCGTTTAGGTTGACCTACAATATACACAGTAGAGAAGTTATGGTCAATTTAACAGCAAATGAGTAGAAATATTAAAATGACTCAGTTAACCTTTTCTCAAAATACATAGTCAAAGGACTTAGGAATCCACTAGCTTAAATTTGCATTAAAATAGATAGGCACCTCGGTATATATGGCGGAATGTCCAAGTGTGGTCATGCAAGTCTCGGGCCGTCAGTTCTTGCGCAGGGGGTGTCATGGTAAAATCCTAGAATTAACTACGCAATCAGAGAACACAATGACAAAGAAAACCTTTTGTCTATGATTTCAATGAAAAGTAATTTTTAAAGATGATAAAATAATCTAAGTAAATTATAAAATCAACAAGAAATCACACAAGATAAAAACGGGTATGATGCAAGGGCTACAACCCAAAACAAATTTTGAATGTGCAAAAAGACAGCACAATGTCAAGGGATGGCAGGAATAATACACATACAAGAGGAGGGAAGATCTTCTCAGCTGCACGTCGAGGCACGGAGAACCCACCATGAGTGCTCGTATCACTTGCTGTCAATGTTTTGCAGAAGAATTCAGTTTGAGGCTTATTCGGTTTCATCGCAAGATCTGATGCAAACAATGCCTCCTTATCATACTACAGAAAAAAGATGAAACAATGATAGTCAGGAGAAAAGAAGAAAACAATATACTTAAGCTGCCTGACTTCACAGTATTGATTATTCCTTCAGCTAAAAAGGCGGATCAGATGAAATTGCTCACCGTATTAACAGGTTGAAGTGTCATCTGAGCATAAACTTCATCCGTCTCTGCATCTGCCTGGCAAATTTACATAATATATTAGACAATATCAATTGAAATACCCTCATCTCTTATAGTGGAAGCAATGAACGGTTAAAGTCCCATCTGGATTGAAAGTAAAATTTGTGGTTCACTGATTAACGAAAAGCATACATGCGCATAGCGGATCAACTGATGTAAAATTTCATAATGCAACAACCAATATCTCCAAATAAACCATGACAAAGATTCAGAGAAACAAAAAGTGAAGTAAACAACAAAAGCTCAAAGGCTAACTTACATGTAATGTGACATTGTGCAGAAGGCAGATCAACTTAGAGGGTAGATTTGGATAGTTTGGTATGTGACTATCAGTATCCTTCTGCATGGAGGCAGCAACCTGAAAGCCCAAAAGTGAATAAATCTCAGCAATAATTTATTGAATACATCCTTTCAATTCTAACACCTAAACATGGTATATCCAATTCCCTCATAATTCTATTTCCTTGATTTCAAGACATGGAATCCCTTGTAAAAAGCTGAGTCCCCTTCAACTTTCCTCAAAACAAAAATTAAACATACATTTGCAGAGAAACAGATAAACCCATTTCCTAAAAATCATCCAACAAAATATAATCAACACATTTCACAAAAAATAAAAAAAAACACAATCTCATTTAAAAAGGAAAAAGGACTAACAAATAATCATAACAAGTGATGGAGAAAGGCCGTGAGAGGAATTGAATATGAAAAAGCGACAGCTTAGTAGCAGAGTGTAATCTCTCACTTACTTGTTCACTGTGGCCCTGTGGAAAGTAGACCACAAGGCTTCCAACAGGAGGCAATGAGACCAGGGGGCCAGCACAAGCATGCCATAGCTCAGGATTAATGCTCCTTCTCTCTCCTGCAATTCCACAAATGAAGCCATAAAAAATACTGAACCAAACACCAACTCCAAGCAAACTAGGTCAACTAAACAGAAAATGAGAAGGCGACATTTTACAAACCCATGAATGAAATAATCAACTTGTTAAGCCAGCCAAAGCTCCCAATAACGAAACCACCATCATTTACAGGTATTTATGAGGACCCAACAAGAACCCACAACAAAATTGTCGCAAAAACACGTACCCAATATGAAAAATCAGCCATTATTTAGATGAAGTCTCAGTGAAAATCCCAACAAACTTTGCTTCCATGTTGTAAAAAAGCAAAAGATAAGAGGGCCATATATAACTTCAAACCCCAAAACAACTGAGACTTATTAAAAAGAGAAAAAATAAGTGAAAAATAATGGCGCAAAATTGTGAGGCCAAAAAACGGGGCACAGCTTTCCATTACCACAAAGTAATCAGAAAAAATGTTCCTGCGAATCAAAAGCCACTTTACAAGCTGAAAACATAAAAGGCGAAAAGAACAGAACCAGGGTTTCGCGTTTTACCATCACCAGGGTTATTCACCACTCCATTCGCCTGAGACTTCATCATAACTCACAAGATCCGGCTTCCCCTCACCGGAATCCTAAAAAACTCACCGGAAAAGTCACATACTACACCAAACCAGAGCCCACTATTGCCGGGAAAAAACGAAATACTTATTTCCTTGCACCAAAAAAGAGAGTGAAAAAGTGAACCAAAATCCCGACAAAATAGCCCCAAAAAATGACACCGGTCCCAAGCTCCAACACCTTCTCCAAACTCCCCCGAGCTCACGATCGCCGGAATATGCCCCAACCCGCCGGAAAACCACCCAAATCACCAAAGAAAAAGCTTTCCCATCTATCTCGAGATTCTCGACGCCGGTGAAGAGCGGGAAACACCAGTGCCTCTGCAGCTTCCGGCGAAGTGGGTACCCACCTCCGACAAGTCCCTCGATATCAGGTCGCCGGAAAGTGAATTTTGGCCGGAAAACTCGCCGGGAAATGGAGTACAGAGGGAGAGGAGCCGACAGTAGTGAGACCAGAGGAGCTAAAAAAAGCGGGGTTTGCTTCGTGGTATTGAGACAGAGGAAGGCTCCCTTGCCCTTAACCAAGCCTACAACCAGACATTTGCCTTTTTGGGACCATTTTAACCCACGTGGGTTAACCATTTAACCCACTGCTTTTTACTTTTTCTGTACATTCCCTCGCTAATTCTCTCGTTCCGGAACAATTACGGTTGTGCCCTTGTGGGTTTTTTCCTAATAATTTTGTATGCATTAGGTGAATGGGTGAAATTACTCATGATACCCTTGTAATTCTTGAAATCACCCAATAGACTCGAACGTGCTTATTAGTGAAGAACAGGTGATTGGGACTTAACAATCGTGTTTTGTGGATTGCCCAAAATACCAATTCGGATGGAAATTGGTGGGACCGCCCGGTTTTCTGGAACAGCGGGCCTCCAAGCCCATCCTTATTTTTTTATTGCTTTTATATTTTTTTTTTGTTGTGTCTACGGTCTTTTTTTTTTTAGCTGATTTACTCGACTGCCTGTCGATCCGCTTTTGATGGGTTTTTCAGATGGGCAATTCGAGTCATCGATTTATCTTTTTATACACTACAACGTATTAAAGTAGATCAGCTAGATAGGTAAATCAGAAAAAAATAATTAAAAATAAAAATAAATTTAAGGGGATTCAGGGGAGAGTTAGTGCGCCACTTATTGAATTTCATACAGATCGGATATTCTCGATCTAGATCACCGGGTTTAAGATTTCTAAAAAGAAAGGAATGGGACTGAAAGCAAAATGACAAACCCAGGTTGTGGTCCAAAGTGTGTTCTTTACCGTCCACCAATGGAATGTCTTGAGATGATGCTTATGACCTTTTATCATGCTCGAGTTTATGTGGTCATGTGTGCATACTATAATGGTTATTCTAAATTAGATATTTGAATTTCTTGTCAAAGTTGACCGTTCTTCATAGTCGTCATTTGCATGTTGCATGCAACATTATATTGGATCAAATTACAAAAAAATTGAATTTAAAATAATTTGTCAGATAGAGACAAAATTTAGAATCATCTATGACACAATGGGATATAATTCAAATTGCACATCTCCAACTTATAGCTAACAAATAAATAAAACATACTCTAGAAACTAGAGAATCAAGATAAGTCTTAAATTAAAATCTCATGGCTAAAGATCCCAATCCTCGATTTTTCAATCACAATCAAACCTTACAACAAACAAGGGGAAAATAATTAGACGTAAAATATTTTTAAAAAGAATATGAAAACACAAAAAGAAAAAAATAAATTTTTTATGCAAGGTTGTAATTTTATAATATAAAAGTATGGTGCACCTCGATAATCCAATAAAAAATAGCATCTTGAAATTAGAAAACCTTCCACTACATCATCTAGACCTCAAGATACGTGGTTATAAAGAAAAAAAAAAAAAATTCAAATTCTAAAAATAATACATATTGTAACAAGTTATCTCGATAATATATTTTCACAAATTTCAATAATATATAGATCTGTTCAATCCTTTCAAACAATTGAAATATCGTAATCATACTTCGGCATAAATTTTCAAGTTGTGGTAAGGTTTCCTACACCAGAACTACATCTTCCGACAAAACTTAAAAGTCAATATCTGATACAAACCTCACCCTATAAACAAATGGAATATCTATAAAGAGACCATTTATCTTCTGTAAATGGAGGTCACAATCATTTCTACTCATTAGATGTTAAATTATTTGTTTGGGATGAGTTAGGAAGTCCAATAATTTTATTTTGAAATTTTATGTTTATTCAAGAACACTTTTACAACTACCCATTTTGAAATTTAACAGACATCAATGATTGTGACCTTCTTATATAAAAGATAAAGGATAAAGTTTATATAGAGCCGAGGTTCTAAACAATCAAATTAGAGCCTACCTCGAAAAATTTACAAGATGAGGTGGTTTTGATGCCTAAATATCATCAAATTGATCATCTCGGCATCAAGATGCATGGATATGAGAAAAAAATGGATTTTAAGTTTTAGAAATAGTGCAACTTGTAACGCATTTTTTTAATGTTAATTTTCAAAATTTTATAGTTCTACACTGTTTTTTAAGCTTAAAATTTAATAATTAAATATTAAAATATATTTTAAGACTATTACAGTATTGAAACCACATTTCTCAACACGATTTAAAGGTGGCTATAAACAAACCGCAACCCAAGATAAATAGTATATTTGTATACAATCCCATAAATAATTGGGTGTTACATGAAAAAGGGTGCAGTTGGCATCTGGATGCATATGTAGCTATAGTGGTAAAACGCACCCTCAAAATTTTAAATTTAAAAAATGTTAAAATCAAATAGATCTATAAACATATGAAAATCTTAAAAATGGAAGGTGTAGATAATATGTTGTAAAATACATTATTTTTTAAATTTAAAATATTTTTATTTTTTATAATCATATATCTCGATATCGAGATGATCAACCAAAAGGTAGTTTTAACTATTAAAACTACATTTTTCGATGGATTTTTGAGGTGCATCCGCAGTTCTACTGTATAAGTTTGCATCCTTACATAAACTTTTTCCAATGGAAAAAACACACGTCCACGAGAGGAGCTGGCCACCTTCACACAATCCAAGGGCAATATAGTAATCATGTAGAATTAAAAATAAAAAGGAAACATTATTAGCCCGGAGAACCCGGCCTGGGTCACATGCGCATGTGTCTGGACAAGACTATTTATTACCCAAAAATTCGTTAATAATAAGTTTCTCTTTAAATAAACCGTTTTGCCGTGAATAAGTGCATTAAGCTAATTATTGGGCATATGGGTTTTAAACAGTCCCTTGACACGTGGACGCATATCAGCTGCCGCAGTGGGCCCCACAAGCTTCACTCGATATGACGAGACACAAATTCATTAATTAACGAATGAGGTTTCTGTAAGGCTTCGGCTTTATGAAAACAAAATGAAGCCCGACCTCAAATCTTTTATTGAAAAACACTTTCGTACATAAATCTACGTGGTAGTTTTAAAACAATTTTCAAAACCGATAATAAAATTTAAAATACCAAAAAACTAGGTCTTTTATATATTTATATATATGGAAAATACTACGCAGCGTTTATAGGTAAAAATAAATAGTAAATTCGTCTATTTCCATCACCGTCTAAAGTTCATCGCGTGGTCACGATTGTCAATTTGTGTTTCATTTTTCATTTTTTTTCTACAAATCGGGATGATCTGAAATTTGGAATGTGTATTTGTAGAAAATAAAGGAATATTTGAAAATTATAAAAAAATATTTTACATTAAAAATTTGACCAAAATACCCCTGAAAAGTTTTGAAGGTATTTTAATCAATTTATTTTTACGGATAATATTTTTTATATTTTATTAGATGCGTCTCTGTAAGATGTACATACCCTCCAAATTTCAGGTCATTCTGATTTAAAAAAAAATGAAAAATAAAACATTACTGGACAATCGTGACCGCGTAATGAAATTTGGACGGTGATGAGGGTACGGCAAATCCCTATTCATTTTCACCTATAGACGTTGGAAATACTTTTTCTATATATATATATATATATCTTATGATACTCTCTCACACTTATGTGTGTAGGACTCAAATGATCACCATTAAATTTGGCACAGATCTCTAGAAAAGTTATCATATGAGTATCGGACTCTGCCTTTTTTCGTGATCTATGCCAAAATTAATAGTAATCCTTTTGGACCCTACACACATAAGTGTCGAAAGGTCTCACAATATCATTTTTCATATATATATAGGGAGAGAAAGCCAAAAGCTCTAAAGCCTAAACAATCAAATTAGAACCCACCTCAAAAATTCCATTTCTATTTCACTCAAAGAGGTTGTTTTGATGTCCAAATATTATCAAATTGATCACCTCGACATCGAGATGCATGGACATGAGCAAAAACAAATTTCAAGTTTTAGAAATAGTACATCTTATAACCTATTTTTGGACTTTCAATTTTCAAGATTCCATATATCTGCTCGATCTCTACTATTTTTTATGTTTTAAATTTTATAATTAAATATGAATATATATTTTAAGGTTACCACAAAGATTTTCAGTATTAATGCCACATTTCTCGATATTATTTGAAGGTGTATTTTACTTTGATTATTTAGAGCCTCAGCTCAACACAAACCACACACACTTTTTTTTTTACAACCATAATGTTCAAACCGTGACAATCGATGAGTACTTGAATTGTAATTTTTGGTGAGTTATGAAGTGAGATTTTATTTATTTTGATAAGACTGCAGCTCTATCAAGTAATTTTTCTTAATTAATTAATTTTGGTATTAATTTTCTCAAATTTATAAGGTTTACAATAAAAATCCATATTATTGAAATTAATGAATTGTACGCACTGAAGCCCACCTTTTTAGAGTGTGTATTAGTGCTTCAAAACCCGGATCTTCTCTAGACCATGAGATCAACATACTGAATCGATCTAGATTTGTGATCCAAAAAACTATTAAAAATAAATAAAATAAAATAAAAATAGATGTTTATACTGTAGCAATTTAGAATCGGATATAAGAAAATATTAAATAAGCCTAAAACAAAAAATGTATATATATACAAAAGGGATTTAAAAGAAAAATGGCCGGGACCATACCATTCTAAAACTAGTTCAATCCCAATTGATGTCCTTACGAATTGAGGGTCGATATAAATCGTCGGATTTTAAGACACTAGTGTCTATTTGTATGTTTTTGTGTATGGAAGATTTGAGTTCAAACTTTCATAACTGATATTTCCAACCATCTTATAATTAATCAGAACACCAGCAAATATTTAAAATAAGCAAAATGATAGGATATCCTCGAATTTTAGAATTTATAAGGATATTTTGTTGATTTAAATTGAATTAATTTTAATATTTATGGCAGGAAATGTGAATGTCCAGAATTTAAGTTTAATTATGATATGTAAAAATTATGAAATAAAAATATAGGATTTAAGTGTAAAATGTATAATATACGAAACTATTTGTAAAAATGATGTTTATGTTTTCTCTTTTTATAATTATTTTTCTTCGAA